CCGAACTCCGCCAGTAGAACCTTAGGGGCTACTGCCGGTCCCAAGCCCGGATAAAGGAGGAGGGTTGGACATGGGGTTGGCGGCCCCATTCCGTTGAAATCTAACTTGCCAAAAAAACGCTAACCAGAAAAAATAATTCAAACCATTTTAACTCTGCCCTGGGAGTTGGAGGAAGAATTATGACGTCTCGTGATGAAAGCCGAGTCCCCTCGGAAGTCACGGGGCCGATGCCTCTTCTGACAACCAGAGCAACCATTTTTTTAGGTACATGGAACGTTCGTACATTGTGGGAGACTGGAAGACTATTTCAAGTTGCGGCAGAAATGAAAAGATACAACCTCGAGGTGCTCGGCATCAGTGAAACACATTGGACACAAGTAGGACAACTGAGACTAGCTTCAGGGGAACTGCTGTTATACTCTGGTCATGAAGAGGAAAACGCTTCACATACACAAGGAGTTGCACTGATGCTGTCCAAACATGCACAAAAAGCACTGATAGGATGGGAATCTCATGGACCGAGGATCATTAAAGCATCTTTCAAAACAAAGAAACAGGACATTACAATGAACGTCATCCAATGTTATGCACCTACCAATGACTACAATGACGACGTTAAAGATCAATTCTACGAAAGGCTGCAGTCAGTCGTCGATAAATGTTCACCAAAGGATTTGACGATTCTTATGGGAGACCTGAATGCCAAGGTTGGAATGGACAACACTGGATATGAAGACATCATGGGACGACATGGACTGGGAGAAAGGAACGAAAACGGTGAGAGATTTGCAAACCTATGTGCCTTCAACAAACTGGTCATCGGTGGCACAATATTCCCGCACAAACGCATTCACAAAGCCACATGGATTTCACCGGACCACACTACTCAAAACCAAATTGACCATATCTGTATCAACATAAAGTTCAGAAGGACCATGGAGGATGTGAGAACCAAGAGAGGAGCTGATATAGCTTCAGATCACCACTTGCTGATCGCCAAAATGAGATTGAAGCTAAAGAAGCACTGGACAGCGGGGCAGACAACATCACACAAGTTTAATACGGCCTTTCTTCGGGATACCGTAAAACTCAACGAATTCAAGATAGCCCTCACCAATAGGTTCCAGGCCTTTCAGGATCTACTCAATGGAGAGGAAGCAACATTGGAGAACAATTGGAAAGGGATTAAGGAGGCAATCACTTCAACATGTCAGGAGGTCCTTGGTCGCAAGAAGCAGCATCATAAGGAATGGATCTCTGTTGATACTCTCGCAAAAATTGAAGAAAGGAGGAACAAGAAAGCAGCAATCAATGTCAGCCGAACAAGAGCGGAGAAAGTTACCGCACAAGCTGCATACACAGAAGCAAACAGGGTAGTGAAGAAGAGCATCAGAGCTGACAAACGAAAATATGTGGATTATCTAGCAATGACGGCGGAAAAGGCTGCAAGAGAAGGAAACTTGAGACAATTGTACGAAACTACAAAGAAGCTCGCCGGAAACTATCGTAAACCAGAACGACCAGTGAAAAGCAAGGAAGGGAAAATAATCAGCAACACTGACGAACAGCGAAATAGGTGGGTGGAGCACTTTAAGGAACTATTGAATCGACCAGCTCCACTGAACCCACCCAACATCGAAGCAGCATCCACGGACCTCCCAATTAATATTGGTGCACCTACGATTGAGGAGATCAGTATAGCCATCAGACAAATCAAGAGCGGCAAAGCAGCAGGACCAGACAACATTCCAGCAGAGGCGATGAAAGCAGATGTGGAAGCAACTGCGAAAACACTTCAAATCCTCTTCAAGAAGATTTGGGATGAGGAACAAGTACCATCAGATTGGAAAGAAGGATACCTGATCAAAATACCAAAGAAAGGCGATCTGAGCAAGTGTGAAAACTACAGAGGCATCACTCTTCTTTCAATACCAGGCAAAGTCTTCAACAGAGTATTGTTAAACAGAATGAAGGACTTCGTAGACGCCCAACTTCGAGATCAACAGGCCGGATTTCGTAAGGATCGATCGTGTACTGACCAAATTGCTACATTACGGATCATTGTGGAACAATCAATTGAATGGAACTCACCACTCTACATCAACTTCATCGACTACGAGAAAGCATTTGATAGCGTGGATAGGAAAACACTGTGGAGGCTTCTTCGACACTACGGTGTGCCTGAGAAAATAGTCAACATCATACGGAATTCTTATGATGGATTCAACTGCAAAATCGTGCACGGAGGACAGCTAACCGACTCTTTCGAGGTGAAGACCGGTGTCAGGCAAGGTTGCTTACTCTCACCCTTTCTCTTTCTCCTGGTCATCGACTGGATTATGAAGACGTCAACATCTGGAGGGAAGCACGGTATCAACTGGACAGTTAGGACGCAGCTGGACGATCTGGACTTCGCAGATGATCTGGCTCTTCTATCGCACACCCAACAACAAATGCAAGAGAAGACGACCAGTGTAGCAGCAGCCTCTGCAGCAGTAGGTCTCAACATACATAAAGGAAAAAGCAAAATTCTCCGATGCAACACAACATGCACCAATCAAATCACGCTTGATGGAGATACCTTGGAGGACGTTAACACCTTCACATATCTTGGCAGCATCATCGACGAGAAAGGTGGATCGGATGCAGATGTGAGGGCGCGGATCGGCAAAGCGAGGGCTGCATTTCTACAGTTGAAAAATATCTGGAACTCCAAACAGATATCAATCAACACCAAAATAAGGATTTTCAATACAAATGTGAAGACAGTTCTACTGTATGGAGCGGAAACATGGAGAACTACCAAAGCCATCATCCAGAAGATACAAGTGTTTATTAACAGTTGTCTACGCAAAATACTTCGTATTCGTTGGCCAGACACCATCAGCAACAACGAACTGTGGGAGAGAACAAGTCAGATTCCAATGGAGGAGGAAATCAGGAAGAAGCGGTGGAAATGGATAGGACATACACTACGAAAAGCACCCAACTGCGTCACTAGACAAGCCCTCACATGGAACCCTCAAGGCAAAAGGAAAAGAGGAAGGCCAAGGAACACACTACGCCGAGAAATAGAGAAAGATATGAGAAGAATGAACAAACATTGGACAGAACTGGAGAGGGAAGCCCAGGACAGAGTTGGTTGGAGAAAACTGGTGAGCGGCCTATGCTCCATTGGGGGTAACAGGCGAAAGTAAGTAAGTAAGTAAGTACGCAAAATACTTCGGATTCGTTGGCCAGACACCATCAGCAACAACGAACTGTGGGAGAGAACAAACCAGATTCCAGTGGAGGAGGAAATCAGGAAGAAGCGGTGGAAGTGGATAGGACATACACTACGAAAAGCACCTAACTGCGTCACGAGACAAGCCCTCACATGGAACCCTCAAGGCAAAAGGAAAAAAGGAAGGCCAAAGAATACATTACGCCGAGAAATAGAGAAAGATATGAGAGGAATGAACAAACATTGGACAGAACTGGAGAGGGAAGCCCAGGACAGAGTTGGTTGGAGAAAACTGGTGGGCGGCCTATGCTCCATTTGGGGTAACAGGCGTAAGTAAGTAAGTAAGCTTATGGAATATACCTTATCAAATTTCTGGCTAGTACTAGTTCTCACAGATACGAAACGGCTGTTGAATCAAATTCACGCAAGTTAAAACTGATGACGGTGCTTAAAATTAGGACTCATTTGGTACTATTATCTACCTGTATGTCGTAGTTATTAACTTATCATTGTTCGTAGGATACGGGTTCTATTATTTCTTTCTAAAAATTTATTTTCGTTTATAGGAGATGCACATCATTTAGTTGCACCTGATACAACAGGGAATGGAGCACTCCGAAGTATGCTAAACGCATTCAAAGACTCAAAACTTGAAAGTTTAAATCAAGTAAGAGCTGTTTTTGCGTAGCCAAAATATTAATTTGTCTTCAATTATTGAATGTTTTCTGGAGTAACATCCTGATCACAATCAGAGTTCGCGCCAGTGAAATTAAAAGTAATTAACTCTGACTAAAGTGATTCTCCTTCCAGAGATTACTTCTAAATTATGATTAAATCATATTGAAGGAGAAAAGACTGAGTCAAGTTATTTTGAAACTAATTTAATAAGAATTGACTATAGAAACTTACATAGATTTTTATCTATGTAATTGTAACTCTCTACGCAAACAAATTTACAGTGGCCACCTTAGCTGAAAAAAAGGTTTTTAGAAAACATTTCAACGCTAGTTGTTCAACTGCATTGATCTCATCCATGTCCTGAACGGATATTTAGTTGTATAATTATGAGATAAATATTTAGTTACTACTGAGATATTTGAAATTCAACTACCTGTCTATAGGTATGAATATAGTTCCCCTCTCAAATTACTCTCATATTACCAAGCGTGTATAGCCACTGCTAGGGAAGTCCAACTCACTGCCTTCTCGTGGCGGAGGTGTTCTCGAAATTGAGAGAACGGATAGTGAATATCCGGCGCCTGGACCGGGTTGGTGGATACAAAGGGTCGACCTAGATGAGTTAGAAAACCCTGATTCCAAATGAGCGGTATACATGGGCTTCAGGATCCTGAGGAGATAAGTGATGTATGAACCTATTATTAGCTACCATAGTACTGCATCTCATGGCGTTGCTCCACTGCCTTGTGAATTGGACCTTTAGGTCAAGAGTTTGAGGAGTGACCGTGTAAGAAAACCACTTGCCCCAGTTAAGTCACCTTGAGATTATCCCGGTAGACAGAGATTCATTGATTTGTGCAGTGCATAATTTGATTAAATAAATTTAAAAAGTTCAGGTTATATATAGCCCAACCTGCAATCGTTTAATGAATTGAATTATTTTATCACATCCATCCTATATTCTGTCGGTTTTACCAGTCGTTTATTATAAACATGTTTAAGCGTATTAATATCTCTAATTAACTCAATTTTTATTTCTTTACTCTTTTAATTTCAAGTAGTCTGTTTTGTATCGTAAATCTGATCAGCTAATTTCACTCGCACACTAGTGTTTGTTGAATAATTATTTACTAAGACCAACTGGAATTTTGAAAAAAATATATGTTTCATCACTCTCGTATGAATGTTTTGGTCTTCATAACTTGAAAAAGGATTTACTTAGTGTATACGGAAATCATCATTGTATAAATCTACTACCGGCTACATCCAAAATAGCGGCTTCCATCACATTGAAAAAATTGCACAAAAAATCTGATTGATATATAGGGAACGCAAGTCCAATATGCATTGACTACATCTACAATTTTCGCTAAACGCTTCAACTTCACTACATATATTATAGGTCAAAAATAATTGTGCTTTTGAACAGCAAGAGTGTTTCCGACTACTCTGGAACGACCTATTAAGGAAATATATCCTTAAGTCATTTATATTTTAGGTATAAACTATGCTTATTTTTCCTAGAGAATTTTAGAGGTTGATTTTACTTCTAGATAACATCACTTAGAATTATGACAGAAGTACAATTATAGTGCCAGTCAGTCAGTTACAACGTAGAACTTTGTACATACACTGGTTTGAGTCGCCATACCACATCAACACAGAAAGATGGGATTGTCAATTCAAATCCCATAGTAGTGTTGGTAGTAGAAGTATTAGTGGTAATAGAAAACGATTCGAAGATATGACTCGAGAAGTATAATTCAGTGAATTAAATTTTAAAAACAGGGAAAACATCATGAGAGATTCAGAAGATTAGAATTTGAGAGAACACAAAGAATGGATGCACCTGCGCCATTGCAAACGATTTCAAGCCATGTCATTCAAGGTCTCTAAACATCGCTTACTATCATTTCGTGGACTCCAACCAGGTAGTGTACACCTACGAACATCACTCAATCCAGTTGTCAGTGACTTCATGGATTTGTGCCATGTTTTGTTTTCATCACTCCTAGCTTTCTTCCAGCCTGCTCCTTCACCACAAGACATCAATCTTCTAGGCAGTGGGTGGTCAGTCAGTCAGATGCAACGTAGAACTTCGTACGTAAGTACATCAGTTCATTTCGCCATACCACATCAGCACAGAGATGCAATTGTCAATTCAAATCCAATAGTAGAAGAGGTAGTAAAGGTATTAGGAGTAATTGGAGAGGTTAGGATTAGAAGATATTATTCAAGAAGTATGATTCAGTGAGAAAAGTTTAGAAAGTCAAAAGTAGAGGTGTTGAAGAATCCAGAAGATTAGGATTTGAAACCCAAAGAATGGATGCACCGGCGCCATTGCGAACAATTTTGAGCCATGGCAGTGGGCGGTTCGAAATACGTAACACATGTCCCAACCATCTCAACTGATGACATTCCGATACTTCATCTATTGATCTGCCATCCTTATCTAGTACTCGTTTCCTAACAACTTTATTGCTTACTCAATTGTCCCAAGATGTACGAGCAATGCATCGAAGACATCTGTGATCGAATGCTAATGGCCTACGAATATCCTCTACTCTTACTGGCCATGTTTCACAGCCATAGGGTAGAACGGGGAGAACTGCTGCGCAGTAGACTTGTTCTTTGGTTTGAAAACAGATATCTCGCCTACGTCATAAATGACGCAACTTGGCAAAACCCAGTTGAGCCTTCTGCGTCCGTGCCGAGACTTGGTCAGACATCAACATTGACGAGACTCCTAGGATAATTGAAGTGGTCAACACGCTCAATTGTTTTACTCCTCACCACTAACTCAGGTGCCGACGCAAGCTAATCCTGAATCAACATTTTGCATTTCGAGGAGGAGAACCGTATCCCGAACATACTTGCATTGTTGCTTAGACTGGTCAGATGATTGCATCTTGTCAGCTTCTTCACCAAACAGAACTATGTCATCGGTATACTCTAAGTCGAGCAGTGAATTTCTATGGTAAAAGTTCAATCCATGGAAAATCAGACGACGAAAGTGTTATTTCTAAAAGCATATCTACGACAAAGTTAAGTAAGAATGGAGAGAGTGGTAAAGCTTGACGAACACCACTTGAAGTAACCAATTCCGATGATAGTTCGTCATAAGCTCTCACTCGGCCAGTAGTATTTGAGTACATAGCCTGTATAAGATTAATGAACTTCTTTAGTACTCCTCACGATCAACAGAGTTTAATGCCGCCTTAAGGTTGAGAAATACCACTACTGTGGGACGACTGAACGTGTCCTTGTTCTAGGACCTGACTTAGTGTGAATATCTGATCTATAAAGCTACGTCCAGGTCGAAACTAGCCTGGTTTTCTCTAGTCTGTTCTTCACGAGCTCTAGTTAGGCGTCGAAGTATTATCGAAGACACTATAGTAGTTAAACTCATTTCCCTGTGATTGTCACAAAAGGACTTTTGTCCTGTTTTGTAGACTGGGACAATCAGTGATTGAGACCAGTCAGATGGGATTACGTTCAGTCCCCAGATTCTGGCTACGATCTCAGTCGACCTAACTGCTAAAACTGAATCACCATCCTTAAGCCTGTTAAGGCCTGTTTCTCCTTCGCTTTAGATTTCCTATAGCTTTTTCAACTTCTTAAATGTTTGGAGGGCTTACATCGATTCGCCATTCAGGTTGCATGGAGAACGTGGTCAACTGAAGTGTCGTAGAAGGCCATCTAATCTGTTCACTCAAGTGTTTTGTCTATCGATCCAATCCCCTAGCTTCATATTGTATGATAAGCACATGTTTTTGCAAGATGGTCTCACTCAGTCGGATTTCTGATACCGGTGTTCTTAACAAGTCTGAACAGTTGTCTATTGTTACCCATTGCCGCTGTCTTTTCCATCGCTCTTGCTTTCGCTACACGCCACTGTTCGCGATCGATGCGTAGGCTTTTTATTAGTCTGAGCCTAAACTACCTCCACTCCTCATCGTATTCACAGTCAGACGGGATGAGTTTCCGAGTATATATCAGTTCAGTAGATGCTACTGAAATGCACTGCTTCTCATCAACCTTATGGTTTTCCGTACTATCAGACATCACTTCAATTTCTGCTGCTTTTTGGATATCATTCCAAGCTGCCTCTGGGTGGGCGTTTCTTACATCGTTGCCTAACTTTTTTTCTAGTTCTTAAAATATATTCTCAGCTTTGCTATCATTAAGTAGAACCCCAAATGTTTTCCTTGCGTAGTCTTTCCTACATCCAGTAATATGCACGCGCACTAGCGCATGATCTGAATCTAACCATTTGCTCCAGAATGAGTGACAGTCTTCAATGGAGACTAGTGACACAACGCATCTGTAAAATGCTTTTCACTATAACACATAAGTAAGACCAGTCAGTCAGTTGGCCTCAATGTAGAACTTTGTTGTAGCTGAATGACCAATCACCTCTGAGGCCTTATTTTGATTACAAGTCAGTTTTAAAACGCTTCAGTGAAATCAGCTCTGTCTTGAATTTTTATCTTTTAAACTACTATATCGAAGTATTACATCTTGAGTTTAGCATTTAGAATTTAATACTTTAGAATTTTATTGAATGAATAATTGAGAACACAGCATTTGTGATTATCCATGATATGTTTGATTCAACTACAATTAACTGATAAAGGAAGTAGACGGTTTTACCAAACAAATATGGTAATTCATTTTCAAACAATTCATTATAAAATGAAAACTTACCATCCAGTTACAATTTGGGTAGTCTGATTACACAACATTAAGGATACTCGATCATCGTTTTTTCCACATTCGATGGACCAACTTATACTCAGTTGAATATATGGTATAGGTGAAACTGGGGTCTTATATTAGAAATAACAGTCTAATTAGCCATGAAATACTGAAGCATACTTCAGTATATGAATCTATTTCTGTGTAACGTCTTTTGTGGCTTCTAATAACTAGTGCTGTCTTATCTTATTACTTGTACTTTTTGATTTGTTATACCATTAGTATATAATTTTCCTCTTTTTATTTCTTCACTAAGTTATTTTGTGGTTAATTGCTTAATGCTGTATTTCTGTCATGCTATTTTCTACGGATAAAAGTTAGTGAGATACTCCAATTGACCGATATTCGATACTGATGACGTTTATTTTTGCGAGATTAAACTCTCCCATGAATGTTGAATGTGGTCGTCAATGATTAAACCCTACACCCATTAATGTTTGTCGTAGTTAAGTTTTGAAGGAACACTATAAATTATTGTTAATTCTAAATTAATTATCATTTATTGATCAACACTTCCAGTTGATATGTTTCTACTACAGAGTGTGGGTTTGTATTTCTCAGAATGTATTAATTGTTTAACATACTTGTAAGCGAGAAATCAAGTTCCAAGGCTTCCTACTTACTAGTAATTAATCTTTAAAAAAAAAAAGTGAAAAATGCATTTTTCATGTTGCATGCTACTGAATTGCTCGCACGTGACAGCATATCATATTTATACTTAATAATTAACATTAGCTTCACTTTGTATTCGATTCCAATTTGTTTTCAGGTTGGACACATCAATTGTCATGCAACATCTACTCCTGTAGGTGATTTAACAGAGCTGAGTGCTATTGCACAAATGTTCGGTGAATATTTTACTTCTCAAGACAATACACCTATTGTAATCAATTCAATTAAAGGTCACCTTGGCCATTGTTTGGCTGCAGCTGGTGCCATAGAAACCGTGTATGCTGCTTTATCTGTTAACCAGAATCGAATTTGTGGAAATCTCAATTTACACAATCCTATCTCGGTTTATGAGTTGATGGAGGTTTTAAAATCTAATTCCAAATCTTCCTCCAGTGCTTCCTTTACTGAAAAATGCATAGATCTGTTTAAAAACCATGTTGTACTTCCTAGACATGATGAAGTACAGATTGCATGGCCAAATAGTAATCCACATATTGTTATGGTCAATTCATTTGGATTCGGTGGAACAAATGGAACTCTTTTAATTTCAGAATGGACAGATTAGCACATGTATTTTATTTTATTGTATAGATTTTATCCAATCATTTATTATTAACGATCAAGTTGTTTTAGTGCAAATAGTGCTAAGTGTTAGTTTATTTACTTATCAGATAAATCCGAAATGAAGGATATCATCAATATACAGCCACTAAATTTTCTTAAACTGATTTACTTGGGTGTACGAAGAAATTTAATTATTATTTTATGCAATTAATCTCTTGAGTAAATATCTCAGTCAGATTAATATTTGATGAACCAACTAAACTAATTCAATTCTACTTGTTACTTACCAGATGGATATAACTTGATTGATCATTCATTTTACTTTGATAATTCCTCATTTGATTATGGGATTGTTTCTTCGTTATATGCATCATTTTTGATCCCATTCAAGAATTATTCATCTTGTTGTATAAATATGGTCATAGACCGAATGAATTATGTTCTACTTCATACTATATTTCATATTCCCAAGTTTTGTTTTCTATACATAGTTTATAAATCCTAAGTACATATTTTTTAACGTAGTGGTTAATTGCTTGTTCAAGACAGATACTATTGCATGGTCACACGTATATAGCCACTGCCAGGGAAGTCCCACTCACTGCCTTCTCGTGGCGGAGGTGTTCTCGAAACTGAGAGAACGGATAGTGAATATCCGGCGCCTGGACCGGGTTGGTGGATACAAAGGGTCGACCTAGATGAGTTAGAAAACCCTGATTCCAAATGAGCGGTATACATGGGCTTCAGGATCCTGAGGAGATAAGTGATGTATGAACCTATTATTAGCTACCATAGTACTGCATCTCATTGCGTTGCTCCACTGCCTTGTGAATTGGACCTTTAGGTCAAAAGTTTGAGGAGTGACCGTGTAAGAAAACCACTTGCCCCAGTTAAGTCACCTTGAGATTATCCCGGTAGACAGAGATCCATTGATTTGTGTAGTGCATAAACTTTTAGGCGCCCTTTTGTACCAAAAATAATTTGTTTCACTGTAATAAGTTAGATGATAGACACTCATGACAATTTCATGTGAAGTAAAAGGAATTGAGTCTATCTTCGAAACGTTAGTTCGATTGCGTTTTTTGAGTACAAAACAGTACTAGAATACTCAATTTATGCAATAAATCCTTACCAAGGATTTTTTGTCTAAACTTTATTTATTGTTAGATGAATTTTATTATCATTATTTCAGTCCGGACAGTGATTAATTATTGTTTACTCAAAAGTTGAGAATTATAAATACGATGCATACCTTCTTCGTAGCTAACTCTTGTTGTAATCTAATTATAAGTTGAGTACATTATACTACAACCCTATCCATCTTCTAAAGCAGAATTAAGATTGAACAGAGTCCGAACTGACTTAAGCCATGTAGAAATAACTCAACGTCTTCAACACAATTCAATCAGGATCTTGGTTGAATGTTATGATATCCGTCATTACAGGTCTGATAACCCCAAAATTGGTCATTTGAGTGCGAAGAAAAAGACAGTGAAATCCCGCTTGTCATCTCATAGGAAAAAGGAGACATTACTTGACCACTAGTGTGTATTCGTCCGTTAAGACATTTTCTAATGCACATTAAACGATCCTGTCGTTTGCCCAAGTCTGATTGGCTGACTATCTCACTAACCGTGATTAGTGAGAAAAAAAGTTGTGTTTTGTCCTTTGCCTGTACACAAACAGACGGTAATAGGAGTGCTATATATTCATGTTCGGTTAAATAACTTCTCAACGTGACTTGAAGGTAGGCTGTCTGTAAACAAATGCTTTGTCATTGAGTAACAGTCCTGGGAATGGTTGACAAAGCATTTTAGAATCAAATAACAGATTCATTCGAGTTTTGAATTTGGTTATATTGCTAAAGTTAAAGGCAGTTAACGATGATGGTGAAATTTATGCTCGAATATCTGTGTTACATGAGGCATGTCAGTTTACAGGAAAGATGAACTTGTTACAAATGCTAACACATTTACTGAAATAATTCATTGTATTCGATAGGTACTTGACAAGATACACTAGTCTTTGTTATAGAGGGCTGATATTTACCACCAAATTGTAAAAATTGTTTGACAGAATGGAAAGTACAATGCAATAACTGACGTAAATTATGCCGTTTCCGTTGAGATGGACTTCTAGACCTGCATATAACAAGAAATTTTCAGACTGGGAATGTGAGGCTATCGTATAAGGCGTATGACAAAGTTATATCTTTCACAAGTGCTTCCGTTAGTGTGTCACGAGGGGCCTAAAACAGGGAAAGTAAGAGAAACGGGAGAGAGACAAAACAGAAAATAAAAATCATTGTAGTTAAGTTTTGACTCAACAGATGGATTCATGAATAAAACATTAGGTAATGACTACTTGTGACGGTTTTTTTTATTAGATCTCTTGTCGCACAATTGCATTGATATAAGTTAGTAAAAATAAGTTACTAGTAAGGGAATGAATGGGAAACTTACTCTATGAGCACAGTCGATTCAAAAGAATTGAAATAGTAAAGGTTTAGCAGATCTACAAAATGTAACAGGGAAACAGAGCGATTTGATTCACTAGCGATATTTGTGTTTTTTAACTTTTGTACCACTAATATCCAAAGTTTCGGGCAAACCCCGTTTCAATGTAATTGGCTAGGTCACCTTGTAATAAGACTTCTTAGCAAGAAATGAGATAAATTCATAGTTACCATTATGAGTCAGAGATGTGGTCGGCTGGCAAAAGGAGCATCAGTATCACTGATCACTTAGATTCTTTCACATTATAAAAGGCCGTAGGCAAACGATATGTTTTGTCCCACAGACATGGATGCGTTGAAATTATCGCCTTACGAGAGCATTTTGCTATGCAACAAACGATATCATTCTGTCAAAACATTCATAGTGTTATCCTGTTCACTCTTTCAATTGCTTTCTCGCACTCAATGAAGTTGATGTACAGTATTGAGTTCCACTCAATTAATTGTTCCATAATGATCCGTAATGTTGCGATTTGATCAATACACGGTCGATCCTTACGACATCCAGCCTATTTATCTAGAAGTTGGTAGTCTACGGAGTCCTTCGTTCCATTAAAAAACTCTGTGTTGAAAAATTTGCCTGGTATTGGGAAAACAGTGGTGCCTCTACAGTTCTTCATATTCGGTGTTGTCCACTTCCATCAAAATAGTCAAGTATTTTTTTTGACCATTTCTCGATGATTGGCTGAAGCCTGTCGAAGAAATGATCTTTAACGTCTTCATTGTAATCGTTAGCAGGCGCAAAGCATTGAACGATGCTCATTTTAATCCCCTCTTTCTGTGTTTTGAAGGATGCTTTGATGATACTGAGTCCATGAGATTCACACCATATCAGTGTCTTTTGTGCGTGTGCTAGCATCAGTGCAACTCATGTGTGTGAGGCATTTCTATCTTTCCGACCGGAGTATAACAGCAGCTCCCCTGAAACTAGTCTTAGTTGTCCAACCTATGTCCAATGTGTTTCACTGATTTCAAGCACAGAACTGGGAAGCGAAGCCCAGGACAGAGTTGGTTGGAGAAAACTGGTGGGCGGCCTATGCTCCATTGGGGGTACCAGGCGTAAGTAAGTAAGCCTTCATTAACTTATATAAATGCAAGTGTCCGACAAGTAATCTAATAGGGAAAAAAGAAGATCTTAGTGGTGGAACAGTGAATGTTCCATCCGCAAAGTAATTTTGCTTTCATGACTCAGCTTCGACCACGAATATTTTCTGTTGTTCTCTATATCCCCTTTTATTCCTTTTTCTTTTTCGGCATGTCCTGCACCTTAGATAACAACCCTGATATTGTTATGTACTTTTCTTCAGGAAGCCTTTAAAATCACTATCTGGAGAATGCAATCAAGAAGATCAATGTGCATTTACCTTATCAATTCTTGTTATATACAGTCGTCGACGTACCTTGCATTGAGTCTCAACTATCCGAAGATGTTCGTTGTAAATGCGTTGGCGTTTGGTAAAAATTAAGTCGCGCCTGCTAAATTGGATGATTTATAGAATGCACTGTTATTTGAGAATATGTTTGATACTGTTATTATGAGGCATGTGAATAAATGGAAGCTGATATGTTTACCTTCAGATAGGCAGATTATCAAAGATAACTTGATCCTGGGAAACAAATGAACTTAATATTTAAGCTGAAAGATGCGAATTATCTCGTATTCGTCATTTTATATGAGAATAATAATAATACTTTGTTCTCAATAATGTATTTCAAAAATCACTAGTTAAAGTGAATCGAAAATGACTAATTCCACATATGCAAGTTTTACTTGAATTACTGAAGAAATAATTGGGTGGAATCTCTGGTAGTCACTTACGTGACATGAGACTGTGAAGAATGAGGACATTGGAAGTTGAAAACTTGTTTGAACATACAGTGGCTGACCGCCAAGCGTCACTCACAAGGTAGAGCGTGATCATGAGGTGAGCATGCATTATGTGATGAAATCTTCTTAAAGACTTGTGATTGTCCCCCTCTAAGAAGTTCTGATTTCATATTGTTAAATCGCAAAATTGATAGTCTTTCTTTTTTAGTAAGGTACCAAAGGATCTTTTGCTGAGATCTTGTGCTGATCTGCTTGAATACAGCAACAAAGTAAAGAAACGAAAGTTTAGGGAAACTGTTGAGTTGCAAATAGCGTTGAAGAACTACGATGTTCAAAAGGACAAAAGATTCACTGGGACTGTACGGTAAGTTTGTGAACCCCTACCCAGGGTTCTAAAATTGTGTGGGGAGGCTAATAGCCGTGTATTGCAAGTCGGATTTTTTTGTAGACTGAAACACATTCCACGTCCAAATATGTCTGTGTGTGTACTTGCAGATGAACAGCACCGCGATGAAGCAAGAGCAGCAGGTATACCATGTTTGGACGCTGAAGACTTGAAGAAATTCGGTAAAGAAAAGAAGCCGCTGAAAAAATTGGGTAGGTTGCCAATCCGCACTGATGTTTTCAGCTAAGAGTCACCACGCTTTCGTTGCCAGTGAAACTATCATTCGTCAATTTACGAGGACGGTGGTCCCAGTATTAACCAAGTACGGCAAGTTTCCGGGTGCGGCTACGCACAACGAGCCACTAATGAATAAGATCGATGAAATAAAGTCTACAGTCAAGTTCCAGATGAAGAAGGTCCTCTGCCTGAATGTCGCTGTTGGTCACGTAGGAATGACCACTGAGGAGCTGGCTCAAAACATCAACTTGTCAATAAATTTTCTTGTAACAATATTAAAGAAGCATTGGCAGAATGTTAAGTGTTTGTACATCAAGAGTACCATGGGTAAACCTCACAGATTGTACTAAATACATTTAAAAATCAGGTGCTTTTTACTTTTAATAGAATCTCAGCACACCAGTCTGCAGTTGTGTACGATAATCTAATTGTATCCACTTTGTGAAGACTGTACCTGATGTGACACCATACGTGACTAGTGCATCAGTACAGTGAGGTTTTTCGTAATGCGAATGAGTATTTATTCAATTTGGTTTTTCGAGTCATCACCTTAACATTGGCAGCGTGGAATTTTTTGTTCGGTTACGGTTTTGTGTGTAACAATAGGACTCATGACTAGGCGTGAACCACTGAAGCACGAATAATGCGCGATATACTTACCTACCAGCAGTCAACCAACGTCATATGCTGCAATTTAAGGTTTTTTTAGTACAGATGGATAGTAAAATATGCTACGAATTGTAAGATTGTCTTCCTGTCATACTAGACCACTGGTGATCGAACAGGTTGTGTAATACGCAGTTAAGCGTGGGTAACAGTCCGGAAATAGCGTAGCACAACAACTTAACTGGAAATCTGTTTCCTTTAAGGTCTGTTAATATTGGCCGCAGATTTGCTCTAGCCATTGTGGAGTCTTTTGGAGCGCAGTTCTGCTCGTCACTGGCGGTCTAACTGCTGCTGATCAGTTGTGAGCGAAGCAGCCCTAAATGTAAGTTAGTTCGTTCGGAGCAGTAACGATCACTCGATTTTTTGATGGAGGTTGAGGTGTGTGATTTCAGTGTAGATGATGTATGTTGTCGGTAAAGGCTGGAAGTAGAGGCATGGTGTCCGCGAGAAGGGCACTGACAACTCGGCTAAGCCTGGTTGGGAGTCCAACAGATTGACTTATAGCTCAACGCTGGTTCAGTGATATGAATGTCTCCAATCTCTCAAATTATTACCTGAATTCATGATGTCTGAGAATTTTATTGAGTTAAACTGCGCTCTCCTAATAGTCTTTTCCTTTCTGTGCATGTTCACTTAATGCTACTCTAAGGTTCATGTTCGACTAGCTTGTTTTAGTTTTCGTCCTGTTAGCAGATTGTGGTAGAAGTGACATGAGCATAGTTCATGCATCCTACTCGTTGAAATCCAATAAGCCATAAGTAGCTTTCACAGTTCTTGTTTGCATCATCGGCTGACTTTCCACGAGTTGTCGTAATTCCACTTAGTGATGAATCAATTAATAACATTGTAGAACTTCGTACGTAAGTACATCAATTCATGTCACCATACCACATCAGCACAGAGATGTAATTGTCAATTCAAATCCAATAGTATAAGAGGTAGTAAAGGTATTAGAAGTAATCGAAGAGCTTAGGATTAGAAGTTATTATTCAAGAAGTATGATTCAGTGAGAAAAGTTTAGAAAGTCAAAACTAGAGGGTGAGAACCGCATCCCGAACATGCTTGCATTGTTGCTTAGGGTGGTCTGAAGACTGCATTATGTAAGCGTCTTCATCAATTAGATCTATGTCATCCGCATATTATAAGTCAACCAATGAATCTCCTGGTAAAAGTTCTACAGAAAATTCAATCGTAACTTATGTTATATCTATAAGTATGTCTTTGACAAAGTTAAACAGGAAGGAAGGAAGTGGACAACTCTGACGAACGCCACTTGAAGTATAGAATTCCAATGACAGTTCGCCATAGGCTCTCACCCGTCCAGTAGTGTTTGAGTAGAGAGCTTGTAAAGGATCAATGCACTTCTTTGGTACACCTTCCAGTCAGTCAGATGCAACGTAGAACTTCGTACGTAAGTGCATCAGTTCATGTTGCCATACCATATTAACACAGAGATGTAATTGTCAATTCAAATCCAATAGTAGAAGAGGTAGTAAAGGTATTATGAGTAATTGGAGAGGTTAGGATTAGAAGATATTATTCAAGAAGTATGATTCAGTGAGAAAAGTTTAGAAAGTCAAAACTAGAGGTGTTGAAGAATCCAGAAGATTAGGATTTGAGAGAACAAAGAGAATAAATGCACCGGCGCCATTGCGAACGATTTTGAGCCATGTCATTCAAGGTCTCTAACCATCGAGACCCACGGCTTCATTCTAGCCTTATGGTCAACCTTGCTAGCAGATATCACTGCTGTTTCCACAGCCTTCTTGATATCATTCCAACCTGTCTCCGGATGGGAATCGCATAAATGGTCGCCTAACTGTCTTTCTAGTTGTTCCTGAAATATATTCTTCGCCCTATTGTGATTAAGTAAAACCCTAAGAGGCTTCCTTACGGTGTCTTTCCTACGCCCAGTAAGCCTCAAACAAATACGCGCTCGCACTAGGGCATGATCTGAATCTAAACATGTGCCTCAGAACGAGCGACAGTCTTCTATCGAACCCCTCCATCGGTGGCTGATGGCAATGTGATCTAGTTGGGTCCAACGTTGAGACGACTTTGGAGGTCGCCAGGTCAACAGATGCTTTTCCCTATGCCTAAAGTTAGTGTTTGCTAGTAATAGGCAGTTATCTGAGTCGCGACACCATAACATCCACCTTCCAATGACAGATACTGCCACAGAACCTCACGATCTAGAGTAAAATGCCGCCTTAAGGTCCAGGAAGACGACTATTTTCGGACGTCTAAATGTGTGTCTGCTTTCCAGGACCTATCGTAGTGTGAAAATGTTGTCTTTAAAGACACATCCAGGTCGAAAACCTGCCTGGTTTTCTCTAGTCTACTCTTCATGTGCTCCAGTTAGGCGTTTAAATATGATCGAGGCTAACAATTTGGAAACTATATTAGATTTATTCCCCTGTGATTGTCACAAGAAGACTTTTGTCCTTTCCTATAAATTGTGACAATCAGGGATTAAGACCAGTCAGATGGGATTGCCTCCAGTTCCCAGATTCTACCTAAGATTTCGGTCAATCCAGCTGCTAAAACTGGACCACCAACCTTAAATATCTCAGGGTTCAGTCTATCAGGACCTGCAGCTCGCCCTCGCTTCAGATTTCCTAACGCTTTCTCAACTTCATGTAGACTAGGAGGACTTAAATCGATTTGTCATTCAGGATTACTGGGGATCGTGGGTAACCGAAGTGTGGCTGAAGGCCAGTTGAACTGATCCCCACTGTTCTGCCCATCGGTCGTCTCCTGGATTGAGAATGGATAAAAAGACCATCTTTTTCCGAAATAGTTCCTAATACCAGTTTCCTTGATGAGTCTGAATAGTTGTCCACTGTTGTCTGTCGACGCTGCCTTTTCCATCTCTGCAGATGCTGGTTGTCCGAGGAAACGTCTTACCGCTGTCACACCCCCCTGCAGTCAGCAGTATGACTTCGCCCTCAGACCTTGAGTAGCTTCTTTTAATCTCATCGTTCCCCAATCTACCTACCTGGCACGGTAGAACTTATAGGAACATATGTTCCTGCCAATATAAGTCGGCTGGGTCGTCACGATAGGCTAACCCAACCACCACGTTTAGACAGCAGCTACGGCCGGGTGTACTAGTTAGAGGTGGCAGATCAATAGATGAAGTACTGAAACTTCATCAGTTGAGGTGTTTGGGACATGCATTGCGAATGCCCGACCGCCAACTTCCTCATCGAGCTGTTTTGCGTTGTAGGTGGCGGCCAAACCAAAATACAGCGCAAATCCATGAAGTCGCTGACGAGTGGAGTGAGTCATGTTGGTAGATTCTGGCTACCTGGTTGGGGTCCGCGAAATGATAGTAACTGATGGTTAGAGACCTTGAATGACATGGCTCAAAATCGTTTGCAAAGTCACAGGTGCATCTACTCTTTGTGTTCTCTTGAAAAATATCGCCGAGCCCTTAACCCTCCGATAGCAGCTAATACTTTTACTGATATGGGGTTTGAATTGACAATCGCGCTTCAGTGCCAATGTCGCATTGCAACTTGAACTGATGTACATACGTACCAGCACATTTCCAAGAAACAGCTTCAAAATAAATATTTGCACATAAGGCGTTGTTCATTGTGCTTACGCAACTCTCGATTGTTAGTCTAAATAACATAACCAAGAACAATACGACTAAACGAACTGGATAGTCGGATGAGTATGGGTGCTCCGTGCTTACATCTATTTTGAGGCATGCTACCTGGTTATAAGACGTCAGATTCAAAGCTGACAAACTGTGCCATCTTGAGACCCATTGTTTGTATGGACGAACTCATAGTTCGGTTGGGTTGAGCATCGAGATTGCATTTTCTACTATGTGTCCACCCCATTGTGATTACCAAAGGGTTGGAGTAACTGGTCCCTATGGAGTGACAGCAAAGCTCAATGTACGTGATCAGTCTTGCTGTTAAATTACTTGAAATTTCAAATCCTTAATTTATGTTGTATGACTGATGAACATTTTCAAATTGGAAAGTTTTTACAGTTACCCTTATTTCAAAGGAAATCATAAACCTCGGCAAACAGTGTATCATGATAAAAAATTCCACGCATCTTGACTGGTACGTAAGAGGTAAGATATTCACATACTGAATCATCCCTTACTGGTCCAAAAACAAATAGTGCACATGCTCGAGTTTATATTCGAAGTAGTCTTCCAAACTAGTCTGTTCAAAAAATTAAAACTAGATTTTTTAACGATTTAAGCAAATCACAGTTGAAATATACGTGAGCTTATATAGAAAGAAGGAAGCAATCTCTGTCCTTCGGAGTAGTTGCATTTTATTAGAAAACCTTTAGTTAGATTAAACAAAACTGATGAGATTATGGAAACAGAAGTGAATAGAGTGAAGATAAGTCAACAAAATATCGAGAAGTCCAGTTTAATATTTTTCAGGTTTTAGATACAGGAGTTTGTATATGGAGTCCATATCTTCATCCATTTTTCTGTCTAACTGACTAAGTTCATTTTGACCAGTATTTAGTAAATCTGACATTTGCTGATTGATTATTGATGCTTTTTGAAAAAATTCATGAGTACTTCCGAGATGAGCCTAGTATCGAAAAAGATCAGAGAATAATTACTAAAGGAAGTCTAATTAAAGATTATATGTACTGACAATTGTTTACTTAGTATTGACTGGTGCCATGTATGTCGAGTATTTATTAGTACTGACCGAATTCCACTGAGCTTACAGCTGTCAAATAATGTAGGCAACATGCATGTTATTATAACTCATTGAAGGTTAGAAGGCGACGATCGACATTTCTTAAAATTTCAGTCAAGCTCTAATATAAAACAAGATATAGTGCAGGAGTCCCGTTAACTAGGGAGACTTTTCAACTTAGAGTACGTGGATAACATTATCTCATTGTATGATACACAATCTGTTTAACTAGAACTTGATTTGTTGACAGTCCTTAGGTACAGCATATACTCTGGGACATCAAAACTAACAATCCTATGAATAGTGTTTCTTGGTGAACCGTTAGAAATACTTGAAAATTTCGTACATATTGGTAGTTGTGTGGATGCTAGTAGTGGCTTGCCAAATGAGACCGGTCTATGATTTTATGAACCGTTTTTGACGCTGTTGTGGTGTTTGTTGCTTTAGTTGCATAGGGTCTGACTTACGACTCGTTGATGAGTTGTTTCGGTATAGTAATTTGAAGCGTTCATTTCATAATGTTCAATACATTAATTTTGAGTAGCCTTATTTATACGTTAGATTCATCTTATTAAACTTCAGGTACAACACACTGGCTGTACCAGAAATAATAGCGGTCCTTTTTTTAATTCTAATAGATTTAACTAGTAGCAAAACCTGTTAAGTTACATAGGACGGCAGGTGGTTCAGCAAATGAATTTTTCTAATTGCATTATTTACTCCAATAATGCAAACGTATTTGTATTCATGAAGCTATAATTATAGACTAAATCCCTACTTAAACTGTCTTCAAATTTCTTATTGACACGTAACATAGTGAATTATCGTTATGCGGATAAGCAGCTAAATTATTCTTTGGTTAACTGATAAAATCCCTTCACTGGCACGAAAATGCAGTGGTTATCTAGGAAATCAATGCTCTTTCATGATACTTAATTATTTCCAGAACGTCTTAAAACAATCAAATCTAAAAAATAACGCTCTGACCATCTTCACTTGAGATAAAAGATCAGTGCTAAAGAAAAGCATCGGAAAACGAATAAGACACTTACATGGAACGATGAAAACAAAAATACTTCTAACGTTGAAGTGAGATCAACCAAGTTGATGTTTATTATGTATTCAATAGCCTGTAGACGATTTGTTAGCGATTCAACTGTTTGGGAAATCTGGGAACATGAACGGCAAAGAAAATGTTACCTTTTTATGTTTTCCTGAAATTTCGGTTGCATGCTCTGGAAATTCAGACTTTCTAATTTTTCGACATTTCCGGTTAATCTCTTTTAGAATTTCCTCTCTCTCAAAGAAAATGTCATTTATGGAGGGTAGTACAGCACAGATTCTAAAAAAATACACTTCAGAAATACCGTTACTTTTTCAAAGGTTCCAGAAGTGACAGTTGGTTTGTGTTTTTCTAGGTTCCAAATATACATATATATTAAGATTAAAAATGTATACATAGCATTCGCATATATTCCCAATTGAGTACGCTAATTCACTTGTTGTAGCCCAGTATTTAGGGTCGATAGTAAGGTTTCTCAAATTTCTGGAAGTATTAGAAAACTCTTCTTCTTTTTTGGTAAATTCTAATATTATTTTAAAAATTAACCAGAAATACAGAAATACTCACCATCTAATGTCTTAAGCCATGTGGTTAGAACACTAACCAACTTTTTAAACAAATCTGGACTTGAATATAAAGCATGATACTAATGAAGAGACTAACTTACGCATCAAGATTTGACATACTGAGGTTAATTTCAAATGCAATTTGCTGAAGAGAAATAAAAGTTTAAAGGATTACGATATTTTAATAGGAAGTATCAGAAAACAATAACTTATTATTTGGTAAATGTTGCGGTCTTACATTCTTCAGCTCTTATCTCCAATCATCATTACAAAATGTATTAATTTGAAAATGAGTATACCATACCTGCTTAATAAAAGAATTTTAAACTTTTAAGGACCGATGTCGATCACTAGGAACTACTCGGATACATATTCAATTCTCGTAAAAATTTTACAGACACAAATCTGTAATTACTACTAGATATGCTGAGTTTTTATTTTAAGAAATTAGGTTGGATAAACCCCGTACTATTCAAAACCTTCTCACAGTTTATATGAAGGTCCTTACCTGAAAAATTTGGTTATTACGACCCCTAAGTTGGCGATCTATTGGGAAGAAACTAGGGTAATTCAACTATGAAACACACTTTGCCCGAACTTTCAGCAAGCATCGAAACTGGGACCTGAGCAATACAGAAGGATAACAACATGTGAAGATGACTTAAAATTTGGCCACGTGGCAAAAGACACTACGGGAAAAAGAACATTCGAATATTAAACGTCGAAGTCGACTGACTGTATGGCGGCCTTTGTAATAAACTAAGCGCAACTGTGTATTCATATAGCCAAAAATGCCAATCTACTGTTGCAAACACTTGGATGAAGGGTTACAAAGTAGAATATTTGGTGATGGACCAATGTTTGTAGTGCTTTCGATATAAAAGCTAGGAATTCTGTACCAACGATACCAACTAAGAATTTACCGACAATGTCCTGGCTGTCCAGAAGGATATCAGAACACTAACTTATGGACAGTTCCTATATGAAACAGAAATTTCAAATGACTAAATTGAGCTTATAACTAGTGATTTACATCAGGTGTTTCAAGGATAAAAACTTGTTTCCGAAATTGCGTAAAACAATTTATCGCGCTAATTGATACTTCGTACAGGTTCGGGTGGATACTGTTTACATGGGCACATAGATGTTTTACAACCTGTTTCTCACATAATACAAATATCATGAAAAATACAGTCCTGTACAAGCAACACCGCAAACTCAAATGAAGTCTATACCGAACATTACGACCAATAACATAAAGTAGAATGCTAAGATTCAGTCTCAGTGGCTTTGGGTGTACATGCAACTTCAGCCTTTTGGTAAATTTGCGTTTAGACTGAAGGTACTTTATGTGCTGGTGGAGTTTGGGGAGCAGTATGCAAGGTTATCTAGAAGGGGAAGGAATGAAGGAAAAAGTGAGCCAACGACCCAGTAAGGAGAGTGAATGGACTTACTTTCAATAGAGAAAGAATCGACAACAGTCAGAAATAACTGTAGCATGAGATTAAGACAAACTGATAATCGGAACTAAAACTTGGTAGCGTAAGATTTTGAATGCGTTGAATACAATATCCAATATCTCTTTCACGAGCTAGTGTAAACCAATTGATTTCTTCACACTCGATTCTTGTTCTGTGGTTACGGTTTCAGGTGTTCGGTAATATTCAATGGATGGAGGCCTAGCCTCTCGACTGCCTAATTCTAGTCAGTTGGCAGTCGGTTATGAGTTTGTATGTCTCGCGATTTGTATGAAAACGTTTGTTTCAGGGCAGCAGGGTTTCTGGGTACCAGCAGCCGTCACATTACCAAACCGGAGATCAGTTAGTTGCAACGAGGAGAGTAATTAGGATAATAATGATAAAAATTCAATGCTAATATGAATAAAATTTCAGAACTGAGTATTATGTAGATGAATTTAGTTTGTTAATCGGTAGTGAAGATTGTGAGAGAGGACCGTAGTGTAAGCAAGGGAGAGGAAACAAAGATAACTGGCGAAATAGGTTAGGTAAGTGATCTGAGGAGATGGCAATGATAACAACTAACAAGTCTCAAGATATGCATCATGAACAGCTTGTCCAAAAGGGAGATGATAGTCCGTATGTGAGTACGTGATTATAAAGTCTCTTCTTAAAGCTGTCAACTGAGGATGCTGTGGTCACCTCGGCTGGGAGAGCATTCCAAGTCGCGACGATTAGCAATGAGAAAAAGTGTGCATGAATCTGAGTATTCGCTCTTTGATATGCAATCTTTAGAGGATTGCCTCGAGGGGAGTTGATGTCGGATCAGCAGAGCGGGAATCCAATATCTTTATCCAACCTTATATAAACCAACTGATTTCATAAGCTGGAACTCTATTGTTTCGGTACAATTTCATGTGAGGCAGGCGAATAACCATTATGACAAGGTAAACAAATCCTCAGAATAAATGCTTTTTCTAAGTCTTTGACAGCGGTCCTGACGTCATTAGTTTTAGTGGGCACCCAGCTGAAGGTTCTCGGTCAAGCATCCGCACCTGACCACCCTGGGGCACGTCGAGTTACGCTTCTGCCCACATCAACTAGCCGGTCCAGTTCACCCACTCATTCACATCCTAACCGTTGGCCAAATATACTCACTTTATTCCTGACCTCTGGTGTTACTTGGCTTTCGGTATTCTCGAACTGAAAGTTTCTTTCGACAATAGCGTTGTTCGAATGTGAACATCCGTGATCTCCTCATTGGTAATTTCGGTGTGATCTGATTCACAGGACAAGATACTGCAAGTTTTTTATTCATAGCGTAATATGTCCTCATATATTTTCATATTCGTTCCCACATATTCTTATCTATTCTATTCTATTCTCTATCGTTAGGCACGCCTAAGTTTCTTAAGATTTCGACTTCTGTTCTCCGGAACTTCCAACTTACTCCTTTCTTGCCTGACAAATCAAAACCTGGTTCTTCCATTAAGAGGCTGACTTTCACGAACCCGGCCGGAAAGACAAACGACCTCAGTTCCTCTATGTGACAAAGGCGCTACCACGAGAGCTAAACAGGAACGTTACACACAGTAAGCCTACTAGTGATATATCAATACATTATGACATCTTAAAAAAAATTCTCAAACGTGGAAAACTAATGGACCAACACAGGTTAGATTACTTTTCTCAACTTTCTGAAATCCTCAACCCGATCGCGAACAGTCGGAGACTCCCCTGGCAAAGCTCAACCCGGAAAAGGTCTATTTCTTTATGGAGAGAAACAGATAACCAGAATCGATATTGGTACCACAACACCCATGGCATACCTTCTCGAAAGTGCTGGAAACCCTGCACTTTTCCTAGCCCTAAATCCCATGTCACGGACATTCCGAGAAGCGATCCCACCGGTACGTGCTGATGACCACGGTTGATTGTGGATAAGGCTGTCTTCTTTAGATCAGTGCTGCGATGAAGAAGGCTCACCATGTCGTAGACATTGGTTCAGTACTTAGCGTCTCGCCACCGAACATAAACGATCGTTGGCACGATCCCGTTTTAAATCTACAGTTAAAAAAACAGAAAAACTGATCACCTGTTACCGAAAAGGGTATGTTAACCTTGACGTGGATTCACACAAACCCATTCATTGGATTTTCGATGTGGCAGAGATGTAAGTGACAGTCATCGGTATAGCCGCGCTATAACCGCATAGCCCACTTATGAACTCAAGCGATTGGACGTTAGTAGACATTGATACTAAATTATCTGTTTTTGGAGTTTCGTCCCCTAACTGAACCTTGTGCCAAGTCACGGTTAAACACATAATTGATCGATACACAACAGACACCTGAAATAGTACCAAACACAAAAACGATTTCCGTGAATAACCAGCAACGTTGTGCATCACTTCACAAATAAATGACTACCTTTTTTCTCAAAAGCAAAGCGACCGGCTCCTGAAAAGTCAAGACAGCAAGAACATATTCAATAATTTAGGGGTTATCCGACCTTCAAGTAGCCCATAGGCATCTTCATTGCATATGGTTTAAAAAAAGATAGCAGCGTTCGGCGTTCAATCTGTGATTATTGACCACCAAAGGCAAAATCCACGCCCAATCTTTAATCGTTACCCGACATTCAGGATATAACAGCTACCATGAAAATTACGACTGTCTTTCCATAATCGATTTTGTTAAGGCGTTTATTTTAATCATAAGTTTTCACCGTAGTTTTTGGCTTCACACTCTTGATGCTTGAGGAATACTTAACTCGCTGAAACCTTAAAACGATGCCATTTTATGAAATCAAGTCTGGACAGATGATTTCCAAATTACAAAAACTTTACTCGCAATTACATCCCAAACAATCTGACAAATAACTGAAAGAAATTTGATTTCTCCTGTTGCCTACAACACTGTAATGCTCGTCAGTTGATATGCTTGAAACCATTACGAGTTAACCTTAATCGAACACAAATTGTCCAGTGACACGATGGGCTTCCCTAATCCCAAGCCCCCTACTAGGTGAACAAGAAGTCCTGATGTGGCGTAGAAGGCTTATACTACATGTATCCCTCAGAAACTTCGAGGTTTTGTATAGAAGAAGAAGAAGGATCATAAACTATACAGACAGTGCGTATTTATACATTTAGGCAGACCGCAAATAATAACCAATAGGAGGAAACATTTAAAGTATGTGAACTTGATAGTTAGGGCAACCTTAAATATCGACCGATGGGGATCAACCGATAGAATTAGACTCACAAAATTATTTCTTTAGGATATTTGATGAATATCCTAACAAACACCAGTAAAAGATCTAAATCTAAAATCAAACTTTGTAGGAACAGCAGTCAATCCGCATTGTATAGTGACCTTCCTAAAGACCTACTTAGTTTGTACCATGAATTTGGGTACAACTTTTCATTACTTCGTATCTCGCTTATAGATATAAATATGGACAACCACGAGCTGAGTGACTCAATAGTATGCACTGCTTCCGAAGGCCAATCCGAAACAGACGCTTGCGAGCACTTACTAGAAAGTGAGGCTGATCCTCAACGCTTGGCATCTCCACAAACGTATACACGTTATAGTACCCTATGGATTTTCGGTCAGTCTGTCCATGAAGTAGATGCGCATTATTCACCCACAGATATATTCGTTACTACAGCTGAGTATACTCAGAAAGAGCAACTTCTAGCCACTTGCGGTAAGTCTAAATGCAATTCCTTCACCCCCGACATCTATGAGATAAACTGTAGTAGTTTTACTGGTGATAATTCTAAGAACAGTCCAATCGAACGTAACATTAACTAAACCATCTACGATTTACGTCCATAAAATACTTGATCAGTGTTCCAGAAAAGTCTAATGTTGAAATCGGCGTACCTCTTGTGGCGTGTTTTTATATGAGAGTAAATTGTTATTATCATAAAAATCAGAAATGGTAATAATAATATATTTATTCTCAAATAACTACGTTACAAGAGTCACGCCAGTTTACAGGCTAGATCGAATTGTCACAAATGCTTTCGCAATTACTGTCAAAGTTACAGCAGTTAAATTAAGTAGAAGAGTTGGTTTCTGATAGCATATTTACACAATTTCATTGACAGAAACAGTATAATACAGCCACATTTTTAATAGTAGTGTACAAATAAGGAAGGTACACAATAGGTTCTTTCGGCGATTTGCCGAGATCAATAGTGAACTTGTTGGAAAAGGTCAAATTGAAAGCGCTTGATACGAGCTGCGATCCAGAGAGTCATGTACATAGAGTGGTTCTCGATCGGTCAGAACCCGTCTCTTATCTGAGATATTGATCTTAACCGTATCAGTAAGAATAATCTCAGTACCATCAGCTTGGACCTTAACAATATTCACGCACCATTAAAGCCCTCAAACCCAGTGAAAGCTATGATACTGATGATATATCATCCACACTGTTTAAAAAGTCAGATTATATCATTTACATTATTTAAGTTTCAGGGACCGGTTGCTAGCCCAGGTGAAAGGGTGAGAACGCTGTTTGTTTGTGATTGTGTGGGGAGAGTGCTTTTATATTCTGCATGTGGTATAAAATAACTTGAGCTATGTGTCGCGCCAGAGGTACCACAAATGGCTGCATCCTAAAAACATTTTGAGCAGGACGGCAGTGCAGTTCACCACTGTTTTTAGTGTAGTCTTGGTGATACAATCCATTACTATGGCTATATTTATTTTTAATGGTTTTAACTTGCAGAGGGTTTGACGTGTTCAAGTGCCAGTTTTCGTGCCTCTTTCTAAATTCGAAGGTCATTTATACCAGCTGGCTTGGTAAGGCGGGATGTGATGAGTTTTTATTTTGAGGGTTGTTGCGATTAAATGAATGGGTACTACAGATGAGGGATGGGGTGAAAAATCTTTTACTGACACATTTACTAATAACTCTAGGGTATGGTGGTTTTGAGGTGAACCTTGCCTACATACTAACTTAAAATTGTTACCCCGAATGAAGCAAAGGCAGCTGACCAGCTTTCTTCAACCTACTCTGCACTGACCCTTCCTTTCTGGTCCTATGTAACTGTAGTCTATTCCTAGCATTCCTGTCTCGATTTCTCAGCGTAATATTTTATCTGAACTTCCACACCTTTTGACCCTGAGGATTTGAAGTAAGGGCTTTTGTTCGGATGTGGTTGGGGTGCTCTCCTCAAACTGTGTCGTATCTACCCACAGCGCGTCTTCCTAATATCCTCGTCCTCCAGAATCTGGTTTGTTCTCTCTTACAGTGGGTTGTTGCTGATAGTGTCTGGCCAGCGAATCCGACGTACTATGTGTAGATAACTGTTAATGAACACCTGTATCTTCTGGATGATAGCTTCGACAATTTACAAAGTTTTAACTCCATACAGTAAAACTATCGCGACATCTGTATTGAGGATTCTGACTTTGTGGCTGGCTGAAAGTTGTTTGAAGTTCTAGATGTTTTACAGTTGTAGAAATACTGTACTTGTATTACGGATCTGCGCCTTCATATCTGAGTCACACCCACCCTGCCCATGAGTGATGATACCCAGATATGTGAAGATTTTAACTTCCTCCAACCCATTTCCATCAAGAGTGATTTGATTGATTTGGTTGTGTTTCATTGAAGAATCTTGCATTTCCATTTATGTATGTTCAAACATTGCTCCTGAGGCTGCTGCTACACTGATTGTCTCCTCTTGCATTAGCTGTTACGTGTGCGACAGCGGAGTCAGATTATGTACGTAGTTCAGATCGTCCATCTACAACATAGCTGCACACTAAGCACCGTGCTTCCGTCCAGATGTCGACGTCTTCAAATCCAGTCGATCACAAGGAGAAACAGAAGCGGTGAGAATAAGAAACCTTGCTTGTCTACGGCATTCATGATCATTCAGTAGCTTCTCAACGTGACTTAAAGGTAGGCTGTCTGTAAACAAATGCTTTGCCATTGAGTAACAGTCCTGGGAATGGTTGACAAAGCATTTAAGAATCGAATAACAGATTAATTCGAGTTTTGAATTTGGTTATAGTGCTAAAGTTAAAGGCAGTTAACGATGATGGTGAAATTTATGCTCGAATAACTGTGTTACATGAGGCATGTCAGTTTACAGGAAAGATGAACTTGTTACAAATGCTAACACATTTACTGAAATAATTCATTGTATTCGATAGGTACTTGACAAGATACACTAGTCTTTGTTATAGAGGGCTGATATTTACCACCAAATTGTAAAAATTGTTTGACAGAATGGAAAGTACAATGCAATAACTGACGTAAATTATGCCGTTTCCGTTGAGATGGACTTCTAGACCTGCATATAACAAGAAATTTTAAGACTGGGAATGTGAGGCTATTGTATAAGGCGTATGACAAAGTTATATCTTTCACAAGTGCATCCGTTAGTGTGAGGGGCCTAAAACAGGGAAAGTAAGAGAAACGGGAGAGAGACAAAACAGAAAATAAAAATCATTGTAGTTAAGTTTTGACTCAACAGATGGATTCATGAATAAAACATTAGGTAACGACTACCTGTGATGGTTTTTTTTATTAGATCTCTTGTCGCACAATTGCATTGATATAAGTTAGTAAAAATAAGTTACTAGTAAGGAAATGAATGGGAAACTTACTCTATGAGCACAGTCGATTCAAAAGAATTGAAATAGTAAAGGTTTAGCAGATCTACAAAATGTAACAGGGAAACAGAGCGATTTGATTCACTAGCGATATTTGTGTTTTTTAACTTTTGTACCACTAATATCCCAAAGTTTTGGGCGAACCCCGTTTCAATGTAGTTGGCTAGGTCACCTTGTAATAAGACTTCTTAGCAAGAAATGAGATAAATTCATAGTTACAATTATGAGTCAGAGATGTGGTCGGCTGGCAAAAGGAGCATCAGTATCACTGATCACTTAGATTCTTTCACATTATAAAATGCCCTAGGCAAATGATATGTTTTGTCCCACAGACATGGATGCGTTGAAATTATCGCCTTACGAGAGCATTTTGCTATGCAACAAACGATATCATTCTGTCAAAACATTCATAGTGTTATCCTGTTCACTCTTTCAATTGCTTTCTCGCACTTAATGAAGTTGATGTACAGTATTGAGTTCCACTCAATTAATTGTTCCACAATGATCCGTAATGTTGCGATTTGATCAATACATGGTCGATCCTTACGAAATCCAGCCTATTTATCTAGAAGTTGGTAGTGTACGGAGTCCTTCGTTCGATTAAAAAAGTCTGTGTTGAAAAATTTGCCTGGTATTGGGAAAACAGTGGTGCCTCTACAGTTCTTCATATTCGGTGTTGTCCACTTCCATCAAAATAGTCAAGTATTTTTTTTGACCATTTCTCGATGATTGGCTGAAGCCTGTCGAAGAAATGATCTTTAACGTCTTCATTGTAATCGTTAGCAGGCGCAAAGCATTGAACGATGCTCATTTTAATCCCCTCTTTCTGTGTTTTGAAGGATGCTTTGATGATACTGAGTCCATGAGATTCACACCATATCAGTGTCTTTTGTGCGTGTGCTAGCATCAGTGCAACTCATGTGTGTGAGGCATTTCTATCTTTCCGACCGGAGTATAACAGCAGCTCCCCTGAAACTAGTCTTAGTTGTCCAACCTATGTCCAATGTGTTTCACTGATTTCAAGCACAGAACTGGGAAGCGAAGCCCAGGACAGAGTTGGTTGGAGAAAACTGGTGGGCGGCCTATGCTCCATTGGGGGTACCAGGCGTAAGTAAGTAAGCCTTCATTAACTTATATAAATGCAAGTGTCCGACAAGTAATCTAATAGGGAAAAAAGAAGATCTTAGTGGTGGAACAGTGAATGTTCCATCCGCAAAGTAATTTTGCTTTCATGACTCAGCTTCGACCACGAATATTTTCTGTTGTTCTCTATATCCCCTTTTATTCCTTTTTCTTTTTCGGCATGTCCTGCACCTTAGATAACAACCCTGATATTGTTATGTACTTTTCTTCAGGAAGCCTTTAAAATCACTATCTGGAGAATGCAATCAAGAAGATCAATGTGCATTTACCTTATCAATTCTTGTTATATACAGTCGTCGACGTACCTTGCATTGAGTCTCAACTATCCGAAGATGTTCGTTGTAAATGCGTTGGCGTTTGGTAAAAATTAAGTCGCGCCTGCTAAATTGGATGATTTATAGAATGCACTGTTATTTGAGAATATGTTTGATACTGTTATTATGAGGCATGTGAATAAATGGAAGCTGATATGTTTACCTTCAGATAGGCAGATTATCAAAGATAACTTGATCCTGGGAAACAAATGAACTTAATATTTAAGCTGAAAGATGCGAATTATCTCGTATTCGTCATTTTATATGAGAATAATAATAATACTTTGTTCTCAATAATGTATTTCAAAAATCACTAGTTAAAGTGAATCGAAAATGACTAATTCCACATATGCAAGTTTTACTTGAATTACTGAAGAAATAATTGGGTGGAATCTCTGGTAGTCACTTACGTGACATGAGACTGTGAAGAATGAGGACATTGGAAGTTGAAAACTTGTTTGAACATACAGTGGCTGACCGCCAAGCGTCACTCACAAGGTAGAGCGTGATCATGAGGTGAGCATGCATTATGTGATGAAATCTTCTTAAAGACTTGTGATTGTCCCCCTCTAAGAAGTTCTGATTTCATATTGTTAAATCGCAAAATTGATAGTCTTTCTTTTTTAGTAAGGTACCAAAGGATCTTTTGCTGAGATCTTGTGCTGATCTGCTTGAATACAGCAACAAAGTAAAGAAACGAAAGTTTAGGGAAACTGTTGAGTTGCAAATAGCGTTGAAGAACTACGATGTTCAAAAGGACAAAAGATTCACTGGGACTGTACGGTAAGTTTGTGAACCCCTACCCAGGGTTCTAAAATTGTGTGGGGAGGCTAATAGCCGTGTATTGCAAGTCGGATTTTTTTGTAGACTGAAACACATTCCACGTCCAAATATGTCTGTGTGTGTACTTGCAGATGAACAGCACCGCGATGAAGCAAGAGCAGCAGGTATACCATGTTTGGACGCTGAAGACTTGAAGAAATTCGGTAAAGAAAAGAAGCCGCTGAAAAAATTGGGTAGGTTGCCAATCCGCACTGATGTTTTCAGCTAAGAGTCACCACGCTTTCGTTGCCAGTGAAACTATCATTCGTCAATTTACGAGGACGGTGGTCCCAGTATTAACCAAGTACGGCAAGTTTCCGGGTGCGGCTACGCACAACGAGCCACTAATGAATAAGATCGATGAAATAAAGTCTACAGTCAAGTTCCAGATGAAGAAGGTCCTCTGCCTGAATGTCGCTGTTGGTCACGTAGGAATGACCACTGAGGAGCTGGCTCAAAACATCAACTTGTCAATAAATTTTCTTGTAACAATATTAAAGAAGCATTGGCAGAATGTTAAGTGTCTGTACATCAAAAGTACCATGGGTAAACCTCACAGATTGTACTAAATACACTTAAAAATCAGGTGCTTCCAATAAAACTTAAAAACTGTTATCCCCTGACTTTCAATGACGAAGTGAGCTTGCAAGACATTGGATCTTCCATAGTGGTATGGTACACCAGACATGAGACCGAGTAGGTATGTATATTAACAGCCATTTAAAAGCCGAGAAGCTACATGACACCCAACTAAACGAGGTCACAGAATCATGTTGGTGTTGTTCCCACACAAATGGCACACAAATCCATACTTGATCATATGGATTTACCGGCCCCCCATATGTGCCTGAAAGATAAACTGACTGAGATAAAGCTGCAACAGCCACCCTTTGAGTTTCATAAAACACTGTTAGCTGGAGGTTTGAACATTCGATCTCGGAATCTGAGCAAACAGGGTACAACTCTACTAGTTGGTCCCAAACACGACTTGGAACAGCCATTTGAAGTTCCGGGCTGACTGAGCATGTATGCAGCGCCACTAGACGGACCAAGCATAGAAAATTATCGAATTCGGAATATTTGTTAGCAAATGATCAGCATCTGTTAGAGGATGTTCACGTTCGTACACCAAAAGGAATAAGTAACCATGGCACAGTCTAATTTTGCATGGTCATAAACGAGACACTCAAAGCGGGAAAAATTCCCTACCGTTGTGACACTATGGCGAATCACAAGCGCATGAGAAAGAACCTTTTATATACCCCATGGCCATGTGAATGTTGAGGGCTAACAGCAGTGAGATACATCGTCGAGAATGCTGTCCTAAACAAGATAGCTCAAGCACAATACACACCTGGAAAGATGACTTAGGTCAAACGATGCACCAAACGCTTTCTACTGTCGAATAGAAGTATAATGGATTTTCTACTCTTACAGTTCACTCCGGCTCGAACAGTGTAGGTTCATACGCGTTCACCCAGTCAGGGACCAAAAACACGATAATTCTGGGAGAAAACGGTTCTATTTTAATGAATAAGGGAAATACAGACAAGTACCAAAACGATATTATACCTTCGAGCTTCCAATTACCACAATCGGTTCCGTTTCTGGAAGAATAAATGCTTCCAGTCAGTTACTACTAGAGTGTCAAATCCAAATATGGCTGTAGCCATATTAAATATCAAATTTAAACAACACATGTACAGTACAGAAAGAAACATAAAAACGTCAATATAAGTACAAGATATAGAAATAATAACAATATACAATGATAAAATCTCAAAACGGAATCAAATAGAGTACCAAAATGTCAACAGAAAGAGTCAGTCATATAATAACACAAATATTTATACATGGAGGGATTTTCCAAAAAAACAAAACCTTCAAAATAGATTCTACAGAAGGGCCATGTAGAAGTAGAAGGTCTCCAGAAGGATTCCCACAGTACATCACAATTGGCATTGAGAAACAAATGAAATGCGGAAGTTCGAGTTGATAAAAGACACTTTCAGATGAACCCGACTGCCAGGATACAAGCAAACACTTCGCATCTGTTTTAGTTCTTGACAAAACGAAAACCTACAAACCAGGGTGTTTGTGCTCTCGAAGGCTGAAGTGGCTAAGATTTTATCAACCTACAAACGGCTGAGATCTTCAACATTAACTTCATTAATTAATCAAACCAAGTACCTTTACATTCAGGGTACTGCTGAAGTATAGGTAATGTTAGACTTATTTTTGACTTAGTACTGAGAAAATTAAAATCATTACACCCAGGAAAGTCCCTACGATGTGACATTATTCGTTTCCTAATCTCGACACAATATTCAGAGGACCTCAGTACACCGGTATGTGACCTGTACAGGCACTCTCTAGTTACACCGACTCCCAGCTGAATCGAAACAAGTTACTCTCTCTCCAATCTTTAAAGAGGGAGAAAGAAAAGACCCAGCCTGGTACAGGCCAGTCGCATTATTACCTATACTTTCGAAGGTAATGGAGGGGCTGGTCAACGAACAGATGAGGGAGTACAGAACACTCCATGAAGCTGAGAACGGGTTTCGTAAAGGCAGATCGTGCGCGTCCAGTCTTCTTTTAGCATGGGATAGCCGGACATTCAGCTGAGACCAAAATATGCCGGTGTACATAATATATCTTGACGTTGCGAAGGCCTTCCACACAGTATCGAACGAACTCCTAATATCGAAAGTTACGGAAACGGACCTTACTGACACACCTGCGTCTCAGCTCAGAAACTAACTTGAAAACAGAAAGTTTCATATCAAGGCAAACAGAGTGCACGCGAGTTGGCGAGTCTCAAAATTGGGAGTTTTACAGGGGGTTATCTTAGTTTCACTCCTCTTCCTGATATTCATTAGCGATCTGTTAGACGAAGTTAGCTCCGCGGCATCGGTGTACACGGGTGATACAAAGATTTGGAGGTTCATTTGTAGCGAAGACGATTTGACTGAGCTTCAAAAGGACCTGACATCCAGTGAGGAATGAGCAGTGAAAAACGGCTCGAAACTAAGCAAGACAATATGCCACGTTATGAGGTTCACAACGTCGTCGCACCCCTCTCCTTAAAAGAGACATAAATCTCTCGGATCAAGTGCAGAGATGGGCAACGAAATTGGTGATATGGTTAAAGCATAAAACTAACGAAGATAGACTTCGGTAATTGAGATTTCGCTCCCCAAGTTACCAGAAAATTAGAGGTGATCCGATAATTGCGTAACTCCAGTGTGCCTTCTGGTCACCAGAGGGACCACTCTTTTAGGTACGTGGAATGTCCGAACATTGTGGTATACCGGAAGAATATCCCAAATTTCTGCAGAAATGAAAAGATACAACCTGGAGGTGCTTGAAATGAGTGACGCAGGTTAGACATCTGAGACTAGTGACAGGGGTGCTGCTGTTCAGAAGTTGCACCACACGCACAAAAGACACTGATATGGTGGGAATCTCATGGACTCAGTATCATCAAAGCATCCTTCAAAACACAGGAATAGGGCGTTTAAATGAACGTCATCCAATGCTATGCACCTAACAACGATTACAATGATAACGTAAAAGATCAATCCAGCGAGAGGCTGTAGTCAATCGTCGAAAGATGTTCATCAAAGGATTTGACCATTCTGATGGGAGACCTGAATAACAATGTTGGCATGGAGAACACTGGGTATGAAGACATCATCAGACGACATGGACTGGGAGAAAAGAATAAAAATGTAAGAGATTTGCTAGCATATATTTCTATATTCCAGCCGGGGCACTGAACACAGACTTGGCAGTAACTGTGAAAAAACTCCACATTCTCATGAACAAGATTTAGGATGAAGAGTAAATACCAACAGACTGAAAGGAAGGAAACTTCATCAAGATATCAAAGAACGGACATCTCAGCAAGTGGGAGAACTATAGAGGCCCCACTGTTTTCCCAATACCAGGCAAATTTTTCAACACAGACTTTTTTAATCGAACGAAGGACTCCGTACACTACCAACTTCTAGATAAATAGGCTGGATTTCGTAAGGATCGACCATGTATTGATCAAATCGCAACATTACGGATCATTGTGGAACAATTAATTGAGTGGAACTCAATACTCTACATCAACTTCATTGAGTACGAGAAAGAAATTAAAAGAGTGAACTGGACGACACTATGTAGGCTTCTTGGACACTACGGCGTGCTTGAGAAGACAGCCTACATCATTCGAAACTGTTTAATGTATTTAACTGCAAAATCATGCTTAGAGAGCAGCTTACAGGCTCGTTTGAATTGAAGACTGATGGGAAGCGTGGTTTCCTGCTTTCATCCTTTCCCTTTCTCCTGATGGTCGACTGAATTATGAAGACTTCAACATCAGGGGGGCAGTACGGTACATAGTGTGCAGCTAGGATGTAGATGGACGATATGAACTTTGCAGATGATCTGAGTCTTCTATCGCACACGCAAAAATAATGAAAGAGAAGACGACCAATGTAGCAGCTGCAGGTCTCTATACACATAAATGAAAAAGCAGTATTCTTCGATGCAACACAATAGGCGCCAACCAAACCACTCTTGATGGAGATGGGTTAGAGGACGTTAACACCTTTACATATCTGGGCAGAATCATGGACCATACAGGTGGAACTGATACAGATGTGAATGCGTTGATCAGCAAAGCGAGGGCTGCATTTTTACAGCTGAGGAACATCTGGAACTAAAAACAGCTGTCAACAAAGACCAAATTCAGTACAAAAGTCACGACAGTTCTACTATGTAGAGCAGAAACTTGAAGAACTACAAAAGCCGTCATCCGGAAGATTCAAATATTCGCTAACATTTGTCTACGGAAAATACTTCCGATCAGTTGGCTAGACACTATCAGCAGTAATCTACTCTGGGAAGGTATAGACCAGCGCAGGAAATCAGGAACAAGCGCCGGAAATGGATAGGACAAAAACTGTGGAATGCACACAACTGAGTCACAAGACAGACCCAAAGGAAAAGAGGAAGTACAAGAAACAAAATAGAGAAAGATATGAGAAGAGTTGACGAAGATTCAGCTGAATTAGAAACGGGATCCCAGGATAGAGTATGTCGGAGAACACTGGTTGGCGGCCTGTGCTTCACTGAGGGGTGACCGGCATTCAAGTAAATTAAATTGATAATGGCGTACAGCATAAAAAGCACGAAAAGTAATTCAAACTTCATCATTTTTCCGAAGCGTCACCACCACGTCCCATAAGAAAATGCTGAGAAAACTTCTCACCAAAGAGTGAACAATCAGGTTCGTGCACACATTTTCACATTATGAGTCCTTCCCAGTTGAAATGCTCTCCAAGCAGGTGACCACAGGCCCACAGGAAATAACAGGAAGACAGCAATCAGTAAGAGCCGGACATGATCATAAAAAGTTAAGGTTCGATTTGAATACAAACCTACAGCCGGAGAGGTCAGCACAAAACAGACAAAACAAGAGTAGTAAAGCAGAAGTACTAGTATCAGCTGGGGAATTGAATGGACACAAAGCAGTAACTACAAATATACTCCGCGCTGTCTTCACCAAGGTTTCAGAAGAAGAACAAATGTCACCCAACTGAGCGAACTCTGAAGATGGTAAGATTTTTACACATCGTACAGTTTTCTTCGATTTGGTATTTTGTCACGATGTCACCCCAACGTCTGTGGCTGTCTGTGCTGTCTGTTTCACAACAGTGACCACAAAATTGTCCTCTGTACACTTCCGCTTTTTGCTAAGTGTGACAAATCTAAAACAGTAAACCGTTTTCAATACAGAGAATATAAACATGCTGACTGGGACAGCTTTCGGTTTCTAATTCAGCACTCCGACTGGACTGAGTTTTTTTCTTGTCTTGAACTTCCTGATTCATTACATATATTCAACGTCACCATCCAATCTTCTCTAGACACTACTATCCCACTCAAAACGTGTTTCGAAACAGTTACTCCTTATATCACCTATAAAGCTAGGGCTAAACTACGTCAACTAAAACGGGCATATTGCATATCTAGGGACTTCAGCATCCTGTACCAAATTTACGCTATACCTGAAGGTGTAAAATATCAACATGAAGTGCGTAAGCAAATCGAAGAGAATAATGCTCTCGCTACTGCGTGTAAGTCCCAAAACCTCTGTCGTTTGCTTAACAAACGCATGAAAAAGGACTCAGATAGCAAAATTCATTATATATTACAAGATGGACAGACTTATTATTGTTATTTGCGAACTGTTTAGTACATGGTTCTCCCTCAATCTGAACACATCTACTACCCCTGATACTAACATTAACTGTAGCAGTATGCATAATCTTTATACCATCAAATTTGATCTTAACAATATTCAAGCGGCAATTAAAACCCGTAAACCCAATGGAAGCTGTGGTACGGATGGGATACCTTCCATACTTTTTAAAATGGCAGAACCGAACCTTCCAGCGCTTTTGCCTAAAAATTTTACCTTATCCCTATGGTCTGGTACATACCCCGTATCGTGGAAGTTGACTCATATTATACCAGTACATAAATCTTGACCGAAAGACTAAATCCAAAACTACAGGCTGGTTAATTTTCTTTTTACAAACTCTACTCTTTCGATTTCAACGTACATAAATCCAGCTTCTTACTTCGACTTCTCTTCTATCCACCTTACACTGCACAACTCTTTCTTCTTTCTTGCTGTACTCCTTTGTCTGTTGGTTATGTTCTTATATTCCCATAATTTACTTTAATTTAAGTGGTCAGTATGAATTTTATCTTGACTTACTACTGTATAGACTACTTCAACATGACAGGTTAGGTGGTGCTTTGGTTATATATATACACTTGCCACACTGCTGTCTTTTTCTCTCTCTCTTTTCTCCTTTTCAGAACCCCATTCACGGTAGGAAATCCTTGGCGACTCTAGGGAACATGCACCCTATGTACATGACTGTCTGGATCACAGCTCGTATCAAGCGCGTTCATAATGACATTTCCCAACAAATTCACTATTGATCTCGACAAATCGCTAAAAGAACCTATTGTGCACCTTCCTTATTTGTACTCTACTATTAAAAATGTGGCTGTATTATACTGTTTCTGTCAGTGACATGGTGTAAATATGCAATCAGAAACTGACTCATACTTAATTTAACTGCTAAAAATTTACAGTAATTGTGAAAGCATTTGTGACAATTTGATCTAGCCTGTAAACTGGAGTGACTCTTGTAACGTAGTTATTTGAGAATAAATATATTAATATTATTATTAATCATTATCTACGGATTGGTTTATAACATGTCTGTATTCTGACATTTGTGTTCCGCGGCCTGCACATGCTCTCACTCACCATGTAGATGCTACTCAACTACTGTCACTTACAAGGAACTCAAGCTTCCTTTATCATTGTGGGTTTATTCTTTTTAAGTCCAATAAATTTTCATTTCCCTGATTCATTGACATCCAAACACCTAGCCTGTTTAACAACTTATGCCTTTAATCATTAATTTTTAACATTATTTTTTTACTTTATTCTTTTCTTTCTCCAGCTCCCTATCCTTCGTATATCCAAACTACCTATTAACTGACACATCCCACAATTCATACCACTAGTTTACTGAAAATCAGTGATATGCTACGTGGATATTTTGTCTATCAAACAGAAGGCAAGTTTGTCTAGTTTGTTTGTAACGTGGAGCTGGTACAGAAAGTGTATTCCGACAAGTTATATAAAAAATAGAGCGTAGACTAAAAAACATGGTTTAAAACCTACCATTGAACTTAAGAGGGCCTAACGTCATGAAAGAAGGGGAGTGGTGTATCTGATCAGCATTCACGATGGTGGGGCGGTAACCTCAATCTACCCATGCTCGTGAGGCAGAACATTTCGTTTGCTTACAGCTCCTTAGGATATAACAGGATGTAACAAGTCAGTGATATTGATGTTACCTTTCCTTGTTAACCTCGTCTATGACTCATATTCGTAAACTAGCACTGGTTCCGACGTCCTACCGAAAAATCCTATTACCCGTAGATCTGGAAAATTATACTTAAAAAGAGCTCACACATCACTTCATCAGCTACAAAGTTAAAAAGAAAAAATGTCACAAAAGCATCAGATCACTGTGCCCCATTATTATATACTGTAGATCAACATTATTGCTAAGAATTTGATTTTTCTCAATTTTCCTAATTCATACGATTTATTGACCGTTCGCTGTCTTACTCCTGACTTATCTTCATTAACCTACTTAAGTGCAGTTGGATAGTTAATGTTCTAATTTAAATAAAGTATCTTCTGGGTCATTGTTCGGCTTTAAACAAGAATATTTCCTGTTCTGCGTTAAGAACTATGATGTGGTACAACATTCCATCGTCAAAAAACCAGAATTAATGAACAAACCGTGACACGAAACCTTTAATAAACAGTCACTTGTTCCACTCACTATTAGAAAAATATTGGCACGATATAAATTACAAGTCTAAAAAACAATGAGAGCAATGGCTGTCATCCATAATATGAGCCATTTGTTCGTGGATTACCTTTCCAGCTGAAATGAATGCAGACTCCACGGCAAAGAGCCTTTAAAAGAATCTTGAAAATCGTTTAGACACTCAAGATTTGTTGACCGTCATTTGAAAAAGCAGAGAACAGCACTTAATTACCTGAAAATATGTTTTGCACATACTATCTAAACTGATGCATGTATTGCAACTTATCTACCGTTATTTTTATGATTATACTCTTTTAATTTTACTACTAAAATCGTTATCACCAACATTATTTACTCACCTCACCCTTCCTTTTATCCATTTATCTATTTGTTACGGCTTGTTTTCATGGCTTAATAAATTTATTAATACCACTAGACATTGCTAGTTTAACTGATCCTCTCCATTCTTATTTTTAAATTTTCATGCCACAACCAACCATAATATAGATAATCTCAGATAACCTATTAATAATTGTTAAGGATAGTACGGTCGAGTGAATAAACTATTATTGTTCGACTATGGCCCAGGCATTGAATAGTATCGCAACACCATGAACCTTGTATAAACAGGCCGTTTAATCTAAATCTGCCTATCACACAGTCGTAAAAAAGTGACAAGAAACTAGTGTAAAGAAACCAATCGTTTTATGCTACTTCGTGAAATGTAGACATTGGATTGAATATTGAATATTAACCTTTGGTTGTTATTGGTAAACACCGAATAATACCGCGATGTATTTATGTCCTCACAAATGAACACCTAAATTACTTAGACGCGTCCTCTGAATACGGATGTGTCCGATCAATGGAACTACCGAGGAGCCAGTAATAGTAACTGTCAAAGTTCGTGATGAGGCTAAAGGAGGTAACGTTTCACTTCACATTATCAAATCTGGACTCAATTATCCAAAAATGAAATTATATAGTTGAACAGGATTTCTGTTGTGAGCTTGATGTACTTACAGTAGAGATGCCTTATTTTAAAGAGTTTTTGATCAAGGATGGTCAGTTTATTAGCGAAGTTGAGATACTTGTTCACTGTGACCTTAAAATATTTGAGTGGCTCCTGTTATATGCTCGAAAACGAATTGATCCTGATGCGTATAAGAAATGCATTTTATCAACCTCTAATGTCCTTGCACTATTGGTCTCATCAAACTTTCTTAAAATGGAACATCTGGTAAGGTAAACGGAAATATTCAAACAAGTACGTTAAAGACTTCTGAATGTCTAGACTATTTCTGTAAACATGCTGGAACTATTATAGAAAGCCCTTTCTCATTAGATTGTTTGGGCGATTGCTTGGTTGAACGGTAGTAAGAATCGTAATTATCTGAAATGCATTCTAGCATAGCCCTTGCATTGAATCTGGAAGAATTGGAAAAGATCAGGGATAAGAAAGATAAAATAAAAAGGTATTTTATTCCTTAATTGAAGCAAACATATCATTTCAGCAAAATATTTTTTAAGAAAATCGAACATATGTTTGATTCTAAATATACTTCTCCATATTGTCCTAACAATGCAGCATATTTATTTCGGTAAGGTTACTGTTGCTGATGTATACCATTTTTCTTAATTTTTATAATGATTAGGTAGTTTGAGGGAGGAATATTGTGTAGGATATTATGCAGTGCTTATTTCAATGCATAACTAGTTTACTGATCATGAAGTGATTTTTAAATTATTGCATTCATAATCAAGTTGATTAGTATAATTCTTACTTCATGTATTTCTGGATGATAAGCACGTATCGCAAGGACCAGAGAATCATTGGTGACTACTAATATTTACATGAAATTTTTCTGAAGAGGTCTAGTATTTTACAAGCTTACACTTACAAGTATGCGGCTACCTCTCAGAGAGGTTCATGTCAGTATTAACAAATATCTTATACGATAAGTACTTCGGCTTCCAGTCTAGAACTCTCGAATTTTCAAAGCTTTCATTTGGTCATATTTCATGAGAATAAACATTAAAATGAAATGCTGATATGAATTTTATTGATCACAATTTTTAACAATACAAAAATAGAAAAGAAAAAACAAATGAATTCATGAGGCAAAATACACAAAAAGGATACAATTTCGGGATGAGTAAAGGCAGAGATTATTGATTTTCTAGAAGCATTTAGGCTGTAAATTATCCTCAGCGACTGATTTTTATCCTTTTGAAAAGTTGATAAGCCTTCTACACTTCTTTACGTGTCTTAAACTAACTAGCTTAGCCCACTAGTTTTCTTCACGTAAAACGAGCATGTGTCTTCCTTCAGAACTGAGACAATTAATCGTTCCACAACTTTTATAGCTTGCTTGAATTTTATTTACTTCTGCTTGAGAGGATATAAAATTCCAATCAATATAATTTTTTGGTTATTATTGTCCTTATACTATATAGTTTGTAAAAAAGTTTGTAGTGTGTACTAATATTTCGAGCCGAAATGGCTTGCCGCAGCCTTTGGACGAATTAAATAATCCATTCTTCCCAAGTTATTCACACGGTTTTGGAACTTTTCACTTATTCGATCATAAATTGGCTTGCTCCTGTTTGATCCATATGTGCATTGCTTACTTCGCCTGACACATATCTAGCCTATTTTGTATTAGACAATAAATATGTGGTCGGCCCTCATCAACTGAGTTGAATCATTCGCCTTCTTCACTTGACTCTGCTTCGTTTCTCTTTCACGCTTTGCATTCTATTGTCTGTTTGCTTACGCGAATGTATAAAATATATTCATCCACAAGACCGCATTTCGCATTCAGTTACCACCGTCGCACAAACGGAGTTAGCCAAAACGTTGTACACAAAAAATCTAATGAAATATTTCATAGTATATTCAATTGTTCGTGAAATTCGGAGTCAGATGTCAGGTCACTAAAAGGTTAAAAACATGTAAAATTCATGTTTCAGTGTAGTTATGACCAATGTCGATCAATAAATTTTCATCTAATTAGTAATGGCTGAGTGTGTTGTTTTCAAATCGTCCTATGTTATACTCCGTTCCCCAGCATTCTTAAATACTTATTGGATATACTTTCTAACAACATTTTACATAATCTTGCTTTCATATACAAGCTGATAGAAATTTACGGGTTTTTTTGAGCCAGAAAATATGGTCTCAACATAAAAACTGTAAACAAGTAAAATATTTATCTGTTATGATTAACAAGCAAATATTGTTTTATTAATTCTTTTTGTATCGATTTCGTTTAATCAAACCTAAATATTTATAAAGATGTCGAAAATGTGATAAAGTACTGACCAGAAATATTTCAAATATTATTCCATGTCTTCCAAATCGTTTTATAATAACTCAACTTGGTAATATGATACCTGTCCATGACCCTATGCCAGCAAATGAACATGAATCAATTTCAATAAATGAACCATCTCATCAGTGTGTCGAAATTAATAATTCTTCACAATATTCACATACGCTGTCGTCATCAAATACATTATCCAACTTACCTGGTCGATCAGTATCAACGCCAAATATCAGTGTGCAAATGATAACTCCGGTTACAGAAAAATCCCCATATTTTTCATGTACAGAACTTTTAATCCAATGGTTTACGGAATTGGGAAACTGGCGTGATGTATTCTGGAAACTATGGGCTACAATAAATCTTCAAGTCAGTCAATAAATTAATTACTTCTATGCTGTCGGATTATATAGTATCGTCAAGGATTACCGTCGTCTCGAGAATTAGGGGGTTACCGTTAGCTTTCTTGTTCTAATATGGGATCCTGAAAATCAAAAAATTTGCTCACTAGTGACTAGCTTCGTGAGGAATTCTCGAGGTTTTAGTGAGAATATGTGACCAGTGGAGTTCAACCCTGTTGGGTATAGGCGGTAACTACCAAACGCAAACGAGCGAGGTCCCACAAAATCTCTAGACTGTTCAGAGTTAGACATTAACACCATCGGATGCCGACCCAGTACTCTAGACGTTAGGCGTACGAGCGCAAGACCCAAGACCCTAAGTTCGAATCCTGGAAGGTGCAGGAGTCGTGGGTGTGCACTGTTGATGAGTCCCATACCAGGAAAAAACCGGCCCTCCAAGTACTTCCAGGTTTCTAATTGTAGTCTAACCATGACTGATTGATAATTTCAATGTCCAAAAAAGTTTACTATATTCATGTATCTACCAGTGACGGATCGTTACTTGGCTAATGTGCTTATTTACCACTTTTATGAGTTAAAATAAGTTAGTTAAAAGTGGAAATATCTTTAAAAACTTAAAAGCCAACTAAGTATTTAGAAATGGATCGATGATATGGGTGGTTCTAATACAATTTATAAGTTATGAGTCACCATATATGGTTGATATTGTAAAAATGCTGGTGGGAAAAACACAGTAAATTTCATCTGTACATTATACTGCTGAGCTAGGAAAATCCCGGTTACCAAAGATTGTAATCTAAAAACTAGTCATAGTGGTATAATGATACTGGCTATTTTATTTCGCTTCGAATACTACTTTACAACTAATTCACTGTTTAGTGATATTGAAGTATGATTGATCAAATATCTTCATATATTGTAGTAAGCTCTATCAACTTGAAAAATTACATTTCTGTATTGTGATTCTCTATATTTTTCTGTTTATGTTCATTCTTAGTAAAGAAAATGGAGTTATCAAATTTATACTATTCTAATAACACTTCGTTTAACTCTAAACTTTATATTCATTCATACCTCTTTGAATTATGTTACTATTGGTTAGTTGATTCGCTTGCGTTTATCTTAAATCTCTAGTCATGTAAACGTTGTGGTCAACAATTTCCTATCATCGAATTGGGGGATGGTTGTTTCTATCATACAATGACTTTTGTGCCAGCTCAGTCAGGTCAGTTAGTTAATGATACTGTTTCAATGAAAAAATCATTTACAAATAAATTAGATAATTATCAACTTGATAATGATACTAATTCCAGTAATAATCAATTTAAATCTACATTCAATAAAACAGAAAATATCAAATCTCATTGTGTAAATGCTAAACCTCATGAATTAGTGTCAAGAAAACATTCGCAGTCAAATATTACAAATACTAGTTTATCAAGGTGAGTAATAATTGTGACATTTGTAAAATATGATTTTAGTGATAAATTGAGTTTTGACTTTAAAGCTCATTTAATTTGATCTAGAATTTCCACAACAGGAAGTTAGTTTTTGGCCAACGTCTTAACTATGGGCGTGGACCAGTTGTTACTACTGAAAAAGGGACTACTCATACTCATATCGTATGGCAACTCGAACTGATGTACGCACGTACGTATACACGAAGTTCTACATTGTAACTGGCTGTTCCATTTCATTATTCTTCATTATAATTTAAATAGAAATGTTCATTAAATTGAACTTTTCAGAAACACTAGAATATCAATTAATGATCAAATATAGCAGTGTACACAATATGTTGGCTTACTTGAACTATTGACCATATTATTTTTAATGAATTTCTTTTATTCAGACATGATAAACCTGATTACATCTATCCATGTTGTGGACTTGGATTATCAAGGTTCAATTTATTTCCAGTTCAAACTGTGAGTTTAAATCCTACAAGTACATGACATGTGTATTTAAAGAATAGTATCTCTCTAATTGAGGTAATGAGTTAAAAAAACAATTGACAAAACTTTATAAAATTATCTTAAATTTCATTCAAATAATAATTTCAACTTAAATATAAGTATCAGTGGTTCGTGGAGAATGTTAAATTTCAGAGTTAGGAGCCATGACCAGCAGAGTTCAACTGAGTCAAGTGTGAAGCGGCTACCCAACAATGGAATGAGTTATGGTTGAGCGATACTGTGAATCGTTGGAAGATTGACCATGACAACTATAAAATATTTACTCGATGATCTGAGAATAAAGTACTCACAGTAATATTTTAAGGTTTTTTACTTCATCCCCTCTGTGGTCATGAATACCCACTGTTAAGGAGTAGCATACCAAGATAAAACAGCTGTCCAGTACTCTTCCATTTTAAACAATTGTCGAACTAAAACTAGCTCATCATACCTACCACAAAATCAAAGTTGTTAAAAATTCGTCATAATATAACTTTTATCATTTTAGTAATATTCAGTTTTATTACTAAAAATGTGGCAACTCGGATAGAGACATAGTTATATTGTGTTTTTTTCTAACAACAACTGACTGGTTGACCAACTTGAGAGTGAATATTAGTTTGATGACAAGCTGACTACCTAGCTGCTTAATATGACGTAAAACCATTTTATCTAAAAAAGCACCAAAGAGTATTAGAATGGACGTTCATTTAATAACTTCTTTCTTCATCGGACTCTACAGTTATAAATTCTAAATTATGACTACTATCATGCTACAATAAACAAAACATTCAATTAAAAATGGCAAATTTTATATTAATTAAGTTTTAAATACTACAAATTGCTAACAAAGCGAAATAATGTCATTGGTCATAATATATACAGGGTAAGAAAGAATTATATACCATATTCAAGGTGATAAGTTCTTATCAATAAGTTAAAATCGTATGATAAAGTAGTTATCAAAAACCATGCTACTTTCTGTTCGTAAAACAGGAATAATTTATATGTCTAAAATTCCTTATTTAGAGTTGTTGACAATCAATAAAGTTTAATCATACATGGTCGTAAGTTTCCATTGGAAACTAAATGAGATATTGATCATCGTTTTAATAATAAATTAGCTTGGTCAATCTCTCTTTCCAGCTTATTATTTTATAAATTGCCTGTCACTAGTGAGTAAAATGTTTGCTCACTTCGTTGTTTTTTATTTTGTTACTTAAAGATGGTAGATGCCTTCTGTATTGAGATGGTGGTGAAAATTTGTTGCTCAGGTGGAGGATGTTTGTGATGCAGTTCCGTTCTCGGAGCTGGATGTTTCAGTTGTAGAGCTCAGAGAATAAAACCCCACCGCAAACTTCCGTATGCTGTTTCAACGAGATTAATATCGTCCTGAATATTTAACGACTATCATCGATATATATACAAAATATAAAACTTTATTCACTAATCTAACTTACCATAAAACATGCTGAATAGAAAACCGTAATCGAATAAAAAAAAATACTAATCTCAGCGCTAATCACAAGAATTATTATTATAAAGATCGGACATTTGGTCTGAAAAACACAACCTGAGTTAAGATTCTCCATATTACTTGCGTTTAATTTTCATCATGAATTAAAATAAACTGAAAAAGCATTATATTTCAACTGATCCAATTAAGATTGAGATCATTCGATGAACATTGTAAGATTGATTGACTGAGTTAAAATCTACCGGCTCTAAATGTTAACTTCAGTCAATTTGGGATACCACCATGTTCTCTACTAATATGATCTCATTCTAACCTCAGTTGGTCGAATGACAGTATAATGGATTAATTCATGAAAATCATAACTTGCTGTTGGAAAGATCAAATGAAGTCACATGGCTAGATGGTAGTTGTAGGATGCAGGTGTGGATGGGGTTTTTCAAGTAAATAAACAGTTCCGTAGTTGAAATCACTGCCTACATACCCTTGTCTGGATCACTCCAGTGTATTTATGTATAAACGGTTTATGTATATATTCGTTCTTCGCTTGATGATCTAATTTCTCATTGCGTTCCCGGTCTTTTTAAATGTTAGAAAAATTACATTCCTTACTGAATTTGACCGGGATATATGTTGCAGCTCTCAGATCATTTAATCTGAATAAAGTCAAAACAAGAATTGAGACAGAATAGTTATGATCTGTCAGTTACGTCATATTATATATACAGCTGATGAGAAACCATGTAGTATAATGAACTGATATTATTTTGCCTCAATGATTGTTCTAACTCTATTCATATTCGTAAAAGGAATCAACTGTATGACATATTTATTTTGAAATATCCTAAACAACTGTGGAAACCTAAAAATAGGAAATAGAAAATTACAAGGCTTTCTTATTTTTGATAAAAAGTGATTTTTTTACTCTGTCTTATATCAAAGTCTTAGATAAGCCAAAGAAGGTTTATATACCCAACTATGCTCTAATATGCTAAAAAAAAATTTACAAAAGTTTTATTTTCATACAATCTGGTTACACATCTCATAACATTCTGAAAATTGATTATTTCAAAATTCTGTATACAGGGATGTCATAGAAGTGAACATATTTTAGATGAAGATAGTTCAGATCCTGTAACGAAATTATGTATACTACATCGTGAAATGTTAATGTCATGGGCTACTAAACGCCTAACCAATCAAAATAAGTAAGAGGATAAATTTAGTGTTTATAATTTTTCTTTATACTGAAAAAAATCTACTGATCAATAGCCAACTTAATTTGTAAATGTTTCTATTGAATATCAAGACAGCTTTAACAGATCTACAATTTGTAGTGATTAAGTTATTTATCTATTCATACTTTAAAAGAACACCTTCTTAAATGAAGTGTACTAGGGCATTTTTTCAATGTGCTAGTTTTTATAAAAATCATAAAATACGGATAGTTCAGTACTGTTTACAAGAATGTGATTATTAAAATAGATAAAAGAGTTTTAGATTTTATTTCCTTTTAAAAAAGATCATTTTGCTGCATAGGATGAATATAGGCGAGAACTAAAACATGCTCACTAACATAAGTTCTGTTGTTAGTTAGGTTTGTGAACTCCTTGAGTTATTGTGTCATGTGATTTTGAAAGTTTGATCTAAGGTTTCCATGTATGCTAGTGAAAACTATTTCAATTCAGTTATCATCACTTCTACTTTTCCCACTCACTTCTGGTGTCAGATATGTCTATTATTTAGTTCAGAGGCCTCTGGAATGTTATGTGTAGTATACGTCTAAACCATGAAAAGTAACATACTGAGCAGTTTTCTGCATTACACTTAAACACAAAGTTGCTTAAAGTGATACTGAAACGTTGGTAATGAAGTATTCATACTGACTGACTGAGAACATCATCTATTAACTAGCTTTAGACGAGTCTTTTTTTTAATTTAAAACTTTAGTATTTATCAGAGAATATGATGAATATTTCAATAATAAACGAAATGAGCAATATCTCATTTGTTTTTTCAATGTATACTCTATCAAGCTATGAGTTAAATTCATCTAAAGTAACTAGTTATATTAGATAGATGTCTGGAAATTGTTTTCTGTTTTTATAAACTAAAATGCATAAATGTACATTAGGGATAGTTACTGTTCATTATTAAAAAGATAAAACAAAATAGTTCTCCACTGAGATTAAGCAAAGAATAAGTTGACTAGTACGATAATTTTTATCCTCTTAATATGGAATCCACTGATTCACACACTCTTAATTTAACTTAATCATTAGTAAGTCACCATTATTAGAGAAATAAGGTTCAGTAATTAAAATGTCACACTTCCAACTATTGGGATTTCAGGTTCGAAATTCATATCACTCATCTTAATTTCAGTAGTCTAGTAGTACCAATAGCTCTTAAACATGAATCTAGCTCAAAGTCGAGTAGATATATTTGTATTTAGTAAATCAGTTGAACATATTACCTTATTTCTCCAACACTGTTTACTTCATATATAACAATTTCTCATTTTCAAACATCTACTCTGCAACTAGCCAGTATACTTAAATTAATTTAAAAAATCTGACAATTTTAAGAAATTTTCAAAATTGTTTAATTTTGTTATCCGCTTTCCTATTTTATTCTTATTGATATTAGCACATCTGCTTCAATTACGAATGGTGAACAGTCACATAAACATAAAATTAATTTAAGCCAGATTATTTGTAATAAAGAACTTATTTACAAAGCTCCAGCATTTACACTCTTAGCCTGTTTGGATAAACAACCTGATCAATACGACAAATCAAAAATGTCAAATGTAAGTTATCTACTAAATAATATTCATTTTGCATTAAATAATTTTACATACTTAAATTGTTTTCGATAAGTACGACGTTAAAGGACATCGTTTAGAAGCAATCACAAGGATACATAAACATTTAGCCCCTGTGTTAATGTAGATTATGAGTCTCAACACTAATTCATACAAACAAGTTTCCATTATCTCTTTTAGATCCATTTTGTCAATATTTAATCTTGCTGATTAATATTCCTATCGTAGAATGAAAACAGATTATTTTTGAAATCTGTATACCTGGTCCATAACTAACCATTTGCATCTGTTGTATGTTCTGTAATATAAACTAGTAAAACACTATCTTCACTCGCTACACTTATATGGTATTAAAAGTATTTAAAACACGCTGTTAACTTTGAACTTCTCATAGCTTTCTCCGGTAGCAACTTCCAGGCGATGCTCCGTCGCATACTACTTCTTATGAGCCATCTTGTGAGTAGTTTCCACTGCATTATTACATTATTTTAAATCCTTTAGAAATTATCATATCCGTTTCCTTTCTTCGTGATAACGTGGTATAATTTACCAGGTCAAGCAAATCTATACTAGGCTCTAAGTTGAGTATGACTGACTGGTTGTCTTCTTACTTACTTACTTAGGCCTGTTAACCCTATTAAACATATGCCACCGACCATCATCGTCCATTTATCTCTATCTTGGGTTCTTCATTCCAATTATTTCCATTCTTTTCGTGCCTGTCTTCAGTTATCGGCGTAATATGTTAATTTTGTCTTTCTCTTTTCTCTTGAAGTTGAGAATTCTAATTTAGTGTTTGCCTGGTGACGTAGTTGAGTTATTTCCGCAATGAGTGTCCTATCCAACTCCAGCCTAGCTTCCTGATTTCTTCATCTCCTGGAATCTGATTTGATCTCTCCCACACTAGATGTAGCCGATAGTGTCTGGCGAGCGGACAACTGTTAATAAACACTCGTATCTTACAGGTGCTGGTTTAGTAGTTCTCCAAATTTCTGCTCCATTTAGTAGAACTGTCTTGACATTTGTATTGAAAATTTTGATTCGGTGTTGGTTGATGGTGCTTTTGAACTCAGTATGTTCTTAAATTATAGGAATACAGCCCCTGCTTTGCCAATCCGTGCCTTTACATCTGCATCAGATCCACCTTGCTCATCAATAATACGGCCCAAATGTGTAAAGTTTTCTACAACTTGCAATGCATCTCCATCAAGTGTAATTTGGTTGACGCATGTTGTGTTGTAACGGATGATTTTGCTTTTTCATTTCTGTATGTTGAGACCTATTTCTGCAGAGGATGCTGAAAAATTGGCCGTCTTTTCCTGAACATGTCGTTGCATGTGTGATAGAAGCGCTGAATCATCTGCGAAGTCCAGATCATTCAGCTGAATCTGAGCTGTCCACTGCGTCCCATGCTTCCACTGAGATGTTGAACGTAAACTCCACGTGTTTGCTCTCTCCTAGGTAATTGGTTCATTTGCTATAATATAGTACAGATATCATTCACTATCTGTGGCGATATCTCTCACATTCCCAGTATGAAAGCCTATTCTTGAGGAGTTGCAGATTAGAACAAAGTTTCCAATCTATATAATGATTCTTTGAATAATATGAGCACATGATGAACAACTGGTTGGACATTCAAGCCGTTATTTATTCTACTACAATATACAATAAAGAAATAAATGTGCAAAAATGAAAATAGGTTCACAAATGAACTTCATGCTATATATAATAAAATATATTCACTAAAAAAAGGAAATAAACACATTAGTCATACACTTCTCTAATTGTGATTGATTTTTTAATCTATTCATAAAGGCTGTCAGATTATGATTCCTAGCATTTGTAAAATTCAAGCTGGATATCTTTGATATTTTTTGAGGACTTTCAGACAAGTAACAGATAGCCTCATGAATTTATTCCATATATATATATATATATATATATATATATATATATATGTATATATATATATATGTTAGTGAGTCCGCAATCGCTAACTGTTTAATCCATTCCTACATCGTACAGTTTCGAAGTGGCACTGGCTTGGAATATTCTCAATGTCTTGGTTAGTGAACGTTAATAGTGTCGCTGATCGATAGTTCCTTTTCTCTTCATAATTTAAATGGAAAATTCAAAGTTTCATACTCATTAAATCCACCATGCCATAGTTGTACCTTGCAGATAATAACTGTGAAATATGTCTAATGTATTTTTCATATATATTTTTGGTCACTGTTAGGGATGTTTGATCCTCGGAACTCGCTTGATAAATATTTTTATTTTGGATTGATTTCATAGACCGATCAGTTGACCTTGAGATCACATTTCCCACCAGGAAAAATCCTTGGCTGTGATTGGTTACTGTGTCATTTTAGTGTGCTATTTCTGTGACTGTCCCAAGGACGTCTCTATTGAGTACAAATAAACGCAATTTGAGTGCTTGGATTCATTGTGTGCTGGCTGGGTGTTTGTAAAATAAAATTTCTACGCTATATCAAGACTTCTCGCTGATACAGTTTGGTCAAGAGATCAAAGCAACCTACCTAGAAGCTTGTTCATTGTTTTTTTCTCGTTATTCGACTAAGGTGAACTCGTAAAGTTTAAGCATACCTAGAGACGACCGTAACAGTCACCTCTCAGCACGATGGCGAGTGTTTATGAACATTTTAATATCCTAAAAAATATTACAGAGCTTATTAAAAGAAATGGTAACAGAATAAACAAATAGCAAAGTCTTCTTTCACCATTAATCATGATGTAGGATTGTCGTAAGTTTGTTTGTAGATGTTAACTTGATTTCTTAAACTGGCGTAGGACATCGTGGTGCTAAAATATTTATCGACTCATAGAGCGAAAATGACGATTCAACGAAACCATATCTAGTTGGCGATACGTTATTCTCTCTAGTAAAGTAATATATGTTTCCATACAGAATGTTAAACACAGAAATAAACATGAATAAAATTAATGTAAAACATGAACAACCGATCGCTGATCAGCAAATTATCATACTGAATTCCTGTCTATTATATCACTTATTTCCAATAAGCGAAAGAGAATGAATACTTTGATTACTGTGGAACTATGTTTCTTAGTATCTTCCTTTTATTTCCTCCCATACTTTATTTTCATACATACTCTGTGTTTATATGAATTGCGACAATTCGGACAGATATATCTATTCGTTTCAGGCCCTACTATATTTGCGATTACCAAACTGAAGCTCGTCAAAGAAAGTACTTAAAAATAAATTTTATTATTTTAGCCAAATATCACTAAACAAATATTCTTGAATCTAAAACGAATTCTCGTCATGTAAAATAATTTCTTGCTGTTGCTTACGAAGTGTAGTTCAATTTCTGTATGCAAATTATTAACTAACCTCAAAACAAACTCCTAAATTTCTTGTGAGAAGCTGCGACTAATAGAAGTCACGCATACAGAACATGAGACAGGTATCCGCAATTATACTGGATGGTCATTGCGCTGTCTTAAAAATGACTGAAGTTGGAGATGTAGATTATAGAGCATCAACCTAAACTTTTGAAAGTATTCGTTCTTGGGAGCAGAGTCATGGGCACACACGCAAGAGCTGTCCAACATTCTTTGGTTTGTAGTAGCAACCTCACTGAGATTTATTTCTAGCGATTTCCAACCACCAATAAAATAGTTTCCACAAAACCACTTGACCTAGGCTATCGTTATATCATGCATTTGTTATTAAACTACTAAGAAAAGACTAAAATATAACTGTATTGCCTAAACTACCAAAAGTAGCAATAACTGCAATGCTACAAAAGTTTGAAATACTTTGTCAGTAAATTAACTTTTGCTCATTTATTTTGTACAAAATAAAAATCTTCATAAAAGTACCATTTTAATGACCGTCTTGTTAATATAAATGATGAAGGTATTCCAGGCTATTAAATAGGATCAATTGGTGTTCGATAACGGTTTTTTTAACAAATACCGATTTCATCTTTAGTATAAGCAGTTAACCTCTTTCGAAAGGAATAAATTCGTGTGAAAAGGTTTAAACCACTTGATTAGATAACCATGAAAGTTAATGGAAACATATATATATATATATATATATATATATATATATATATATATATATATAACCTCAAAAAAATTTTAAATAATGCTATAGGAACCACAATGAAAAGGATGAAATATTGAGAACAGTTCGAAAAGATTGAGTTTAGTGATATACATTGGGGAATACAGGAACTCAAGATCTGTAATAACATGCAAAAAGGAATACATCTAAGTCATTGCAACGGGTTCTGAGTCATGTTACACAACGCCGGGAACTACTGAAAGCAGTTATCGCGTGATTGCCTGCACTTACAAACATATCTAGTCGAACAATCAGTGATTTAATTGATTATAGCCATGTTTGAATAACTTCTATCTGAAGCTTGTGCTGATGATGTTGTTCAGAAGAACAATGAAAGCTCCACAACCAAAACAACCAGCTTGAGTTTAAGTGTTCACTGCATTTTTACTGGATTTCCGTAGCTGCTTTAATGGCATGTCTTATCTGTCTGTAGAGTTTATGTAACAAAAATCATCGAATACTACACTGCATGGATTGATTTGTGAGAAAGTTAACTATAGCCAATCGATTGAGAAACAGACAGCGCTGAACAACATAAAATCTCAACAACAACACTTGTTTTTTTTCGATAATTTATTTACCCATATGAATATTTTAAAAAACAGCGCCTGATATGTGATATTTAAACAAAAAATATAATTAGTGTTTCAATGAATTTGTAATCAATCAATAAGTTTGCTAATTACTTATTGAACACAGCTTATTATTATTATTATTATTATTATTAACCTTATATTAATTTATTCAACAGTTATCGTTTGTTTGATGCCTGTTTAACGTGTTCTTATTTGATTTTAATTTTTTGCTTCCAAAAATCTTGAACATAAATAAATTTAAAATGTACACTTGTTTTTTATTCAATTTATATTGATATAGTTATTTAAAGCAACAATTAATAGTCAACCTGTTGAGCCAATATTTGATATTAAATATGACGATCAGATAATTAAAATTAATCAACCAAAAGATATTGAAAATAGTTTAACACCGATAATTCATTCTAAAGGTTTATTATCTTCAACATTGCATGAACGTAGATGGGATACAAAAAAATGCAATCGAATTAATCAAGATAACCAACGCCAGGAAGGTTAGTTTCATTTTGATTTTCTGTAAAACACCTTTTGTTGAATTTTATAGGAGCTGATCTGTGAAGTATATTAAATCTATCAAATTAGTAGTTATAAACTAAATGGGTCAATAGTATTAATCTTTGGTGACTGTAGTATCAATCAACTCAGTTTAGAATCTTACAAGGAGCTAATGCTTTCCATCAGATTATAGATACACCTTATTGATGGAGTGTCAATCGGCACTAAACTCATGGTCTTATAATTGTAAGAATTAAGTGTGCGAGCCAACTGTAAATTGGGAATCTACACTTTACTACAACGTTCACACTTGTTATTGAAGTCTTAACTTATTTTTACTTCAACTGATATTATATCTTGGCTTTTCTTCGGAATAAATAAATAATGATAGCTGAATTGTATCAAAGTTTTAATTTCATGACTCATGAAGCACTAATTTGACAGGTGCGAATTTAAAACTTTAAGACCAGACTTTGAAATATTAGACCTTAAGATATTATTTAATCTTATTCTAAAAATCAAAACTACATATATAAGTGGACAATGTTGTTTTCAGTCAAATTGTCATCAGACTTTAATACATGCGAATATTTATATAAAAATATGAAACCAATCAAGCTATTTAATGAGTCAGGAACAACAACATGACCATTATCGACCAAGTATATTTCTTAGTGTTTTGGTTATACTCCTTCCTAATGACAAACTAACTGTTCTTTTAATCGTCGGGTGAAATGTCTGGGTGTAAGTTCGATGTCGCTTTCTCTACAAAAGAGCAGCTGAATTCGTAAATACTAATGGATTCGGCAAGATCTGGTAACTCATCTTTCAGTCAAATAATCATTATTAGTTGAATATAAAACAATCAACAGAGGTTAGCTGCATTAAAAGCTCTATTTACTGCATTAGTCAATCCCTTCCGTAGCACATCACTAGGTTTGTCTCATTTCAACTGTAGCTTCATAAAGAGAGGTTTCTTACTTAACATTGACGTCGTTGCCTTCCTACTCACTGAATGCATATATATGTCTTCAGAAATCAGTGCAAGTATTCCATTTTAACATATGTATGTAAATATAACTTTATACGAGAACAAATTTAATGAAACTCAAATTGGAGACAACATTCTTCATCATTATATGCTGTTCCAAAATGGATTTGGTGAATCCTCAGTTGCCTTGACTTTATGGTCCTACCAAATGAATTATAACAATATCTTAATTTACTTCTAGTTAGTTTCTTGAATAATTCCAGTCATTCACCACTCCACAAAAGTAAAGTGATCTAACTTTTAATTATATTGTGTATAACAGGATTGGAATTCAATTGACAGTTGAGTAAACTGACTATACGACGGTATATTGAATTTTAAAATGTGTTTATATTTAATTACGAAATTCAATGTAAATTTTGTTCCAACTACTTGTCGAAGTATGCAGTCAATAAATCAGATGTAATATGTAGCTTTTAAACTAACTAATGAAATTTCACTAAATATTTTATTCTATTGTTGAATATGACTTTCATCTCAAGGGAATAGGATAGAATTCAACAACTACTGTCAACTGATTATACTATTATTCTGATTACAATTGTAGAATTATTGTAACACATTTAATTTGGCGTGATTAGATCAGCCTCCTTTAAGGATGTAATTACTTCACAAGTTTATACCCAAGTCGGGTGTCTCTTCCGATTTCAACTTTTCAGCTAGGTTGTATTTGCATCTGAACGTTGATGTCCACTCAAAAGGAAACAGGTACATCCATTTGACAAGTTCCAAATTAGAAAAAAGACTCTCATTCTGAACATTACTGCTAGCTATATACAGTTCATGTATTCTATATAAATATTGTAATCCATATTTCAGTTTACCGTTCTCTACCCAGGATAAGGAAACTGTGAAGTAAGTAGACGAAATAATGACCTATTAAATGTTAGAAATTAATTCCATTCATACTCAAACATTAAATGAATTAACTGTTTTTTTTACCAGTTTGTTCTTTTTTTTTCGAATTCTTTACTGATTCTAATTTTGCAAAATAGATTTACGTCGAATGCAAAAAATTAATGAATTTCTATGTGCACAACGTCACAAAACAACGACGTGTTCTGAGATGACCATTTCTAAAGAAGTTAGTTTTATATTTTACCACTTAACTAATACCATTAATATAATTGTCGATTTTCTCGGTCACTAGCGTATAACTTTCAATCTCATTTTCCATGTTCAAAACTTATTAGACTTGATTCGATTAGACCAGTGAAGTAGGATTTTGGAGATATTGTATTCTCCGAGCTAAATGGTTTGTTTCTAAAGCTTTTATTGTATTGTTCTTAAAGTTATGTGACGATGGTATTATAATTCAACACCTTAAAGATCCTTTTTCTGGATTACAAATTTTATCCATAAACTTTTCATACAACATATTTGTGAATCATAGATAGGAATTATGAATACTTGTACTTAAAATACCTGAATAAAAATGGAAATTTTCGTAGATCTAGAGAAGCAACCGAAAATATTTCGTTCTTTAATCTAAATGGATGATTTCATTATGAGTATGAAATACATTACAAGAATATATCCAAAATAATTTGGAAGCTTATCTGAACTAAGGTCATTCAAAGGTCAACACTAATCAATCCATTTATTTCATTTTATGACACAGTGACGGAGAATAATTTTCACGTCATCTACTAAATAAATTACATTAAACTGACGGAAGCACCACAATGAATGAACTGAACGCCTGCCTACATAAGTACGCGCAAATGAATTAGGCCCTAGTAGTGTAACACGGAACAGCAATCTAAGGTTTATATCATAAACAGTCCTGTTCGAAGGACACAACACTAAAGTTACATCATTTCAAAAACTTCTTACTGTGAATAGCGATTTGAGATCTCGGTACTATTGATACTAATAAAAACATAATGTTTAGTGTATTACTTCAAATTACCATGAGAAAATTAATGTAAAATAATGCTTAATTGAACAACTATTGATTGATCTTTAACTTCTTGCATATAGAAACAAAAACAGTAGTCTTGAAATAATTAGACACGGAGTGTGTGGAAGGTATACGAAAATTGTGTATACATTTTTTTACACTTATTGCAATCCTAACATATCTCAAATAAAATGCTATGTATTCATAAATAAAAAAACTATACTCGACACCTTAATGTGAATATTTTGTCATTGTATTTATGTTATACAATTTTGATTTTTGACTACATTTCTAAAGATGCTTCAATTAAACTACTAAATCAAACATTGAAGATATTTTCTATATTTCAATCGCTGGGATCATGATTAGGGGGTTTGAAGGATTAGTTTGATTTGAAGTTAGCTTAATTTGCCGACCGGCTTTCAATTGAGAAGCAATTATACAACGGAACGGCTATTTTATTCTAGTTTGAATCTACTCGGGAATACTCATCCACGACCCCACTCAAGACGTAGTTAAAGAGATTCAAGTTTTGAGGAGGATATGATCCCTGTTAGTCACTAACTTGATATTTCCGTATTCGGTCAGCTTGTAACTTCACACGAAGATGTATATATATATATATATATATATATATATATATATATACATCCAATCCAGTCCAGTCCAGTATTTTTATAGGGAAATCAGAAGACGGAGTTGACCTAAAAATAAAATATATTGTGACCGACACTTCGAACAGTCTGATCACTTATGTGCTTGTCAAGATGTTTTTATATAAAACCCAACAAATGTCAATGAAGCAGAAGTTCAAATAAATTTAAAACTATAGTTGCAAATAAAGGAGAGAAATGAATTTGCATAAAATGGAAAGAATAAAGATTTGTCATACCACTTTACGCCATAAAATGACGTACAGATAACCTGACGGTTTGGATCTCTGAACATACCTAGGTATTCATCCTCGATACTGCCTATTTTTAACATTTTAGGAGTTGTACTAATGTCAGCTTTTTTGCCTCGTTTCAGTTATAGGCTTTGCTATTTATGAATATGGTTTTCTACTTCTTATATTTATTGGAGTGTTTGGTACTAAGTGATTGTAGATCTGTCTAGGCACAAAAAAGCTTTCAAATCAACTTTGTCTTCTTATTTCATAATCATAATTTTAAGAAACGATTCATTATTATTTTGGGTTTTGTAATTGTATGTTTATGCCATCTCCTTTCTTTGCAATACAATATTTAATACTTAGTGTCAAGCTGGAATTTACACACGTTTAGATTTACAATGGCGTTCACAATCTAGCTTGACCCCATCAAAATCAACAGTGAATCAGGTTATTCGGTGAGTGAAATTATTAATCATTAAAATAATCTATTGAAATGAATTATTTGAATCCTTTAGTCACAAAATTAATTTGGATGTTGAAAGATTTATTAACTCACTAATTCAGTCTTGTGAAGGAGTTACGTTCTCTGAGCTGGATGTTTTGGTTGTAGAGTTTCATTGTTCTTCCAGTACAAGTTTGTGTTGATGATGTTTTTCAGAACAACAATGAAAGCTCCAATACAGAAACATCCAGAGAAAGAAATTCCACCACAATTATCGATCTGAGCTACAGGTTTTCTCCACCATCTCAGTAATTAAGTCTCTTGTAGCGGAAAGAATACTAAAGATATGGTAACCTCCAAAACTACTCTATAAAATATCACTACATATCTTCTCATTGTATAATTACTAAACATTACGGATCATTGTGGAACAATCAATTCAATGAAACTCACCACTCTACATCAACTTCATCGACTACGAGAAAGAATTCGATCGCGTGGATAGGAAAACGCTGTGGAGGCTTCTTCGACACTACGGTGTGCTTAAGAAGATAGTTAACATCAAACGGAATTCTTATGATGGATTCAATTGCAAAATCGTGCACGGAGGACAGCTAACAGACGCGTTCGAGGTGAAGACCGGTGTCAGACAAGGTTGCTTACTCTCACCCTTTCACTTTCTCCTGGTGATCGACTAGATTATGAAGACCTCGACATCTGGATGGAAGCACGGTATCAAATGGAAAGCGAGGATGCAGATGGATTATCTGGATTTCGCAGATGACCTGGCTCTTCTACCGCACACGCAACAACAAATGCAAGAGAAGACGACCAGTGTAGCAGCAGTCTCTGAAGTAGCAGGTCTTAACATACATAAAGGAAAAAGCAAAATTCTGCGATGAAATAAAACTTGGGGAACTACAAAAGACATCATCCAGAAGATACAAATGTTTATTAACAGTTGTCTACGCACTATCAGACACTATCAGCAACAACTTACTGTGGGAGAGAACAAACCAGATTTCAGTGGAGGAGGAAATCAGGAAAAAGCGGTGGACGTGGATAGGACACACACTACGAATAGCACCTAACTGCGTCACGAGACAATCCCTCACATGGAACCCTCAGGGCAAAAGGGAAAGAGGAAAGCCAAGGAACACATCACGCCGAGAAATAGAGAAAGATATGAGAAGAATGAACAAAATATGGACAGAATTGGAAAGGGAAGCCCAGGACAGAGTTTGTTGGAGAAAACTGGTGGGTGGCCTATGCTCCATTTGGGGGTAAAAGGCGAAACTAAAGTAAGTAAGTAATAATTATTAAACCACTGGATTACTATATTTCTATATTCCATTTATTGAAAACTTCTAGTTGACCCATTAGCTATTACTGCACATCTTACTATTCTTGAATTATGTCCATTTAAACATTCACCTTTTACTTTCATTCTCCTCTATTTTGCATGTTGATGCATGATCATTAAAACTAATTCCTATTATTGTATAGGTTGATTCATATATGTAATATGACAGCTATCCTGATTGTTGTGTTCTGCTGTCGGGTGGAAGGCTAAGATCAGGTCGTGCGTTCTGAACTGATAGGATTTAAGATTATCTTCGGTCTCAGCTTAAGGTTAACTTTGGCAGCCGAAGTTACATTCGTCACTAGGTTTGCTTAAAACTATTACGGATCCACTTTAGTCGATAAACGAGAACGAGACAATGAACCAGCGTCAAGGTAGGCCACACTGATCTGTCAACCCAAAGGTACTAATAGGAGTCTTGATATAGCGTAGAAAGTGTATTCTACAAACACCCAGTCAGCACACAAATAGCGTTTTTTATACACCGTAGAGATGTCCTTGGGAGAGCCACAAAATAGCACACTAAAATAATACAGTAACCAATCACAGCCATGGCTTTTCCTGATTTCTACTGGTATATTTAGTACTGATATCTATTGCATCAAACATATAGCAAAGAGGATCAGAGGAAGTAGATAATGTATAACTTGGGCAATCAAATGTTACTTACGTATACGTCTCGTGATTTTTAAATGATTTCGATTATTTGCATAATCAAGGGTAACAAGTTCCACTGTAAATATTATACATATCAAGTCTGTTCAGCATAAAATAGTGTTAGCACTGTAAGATGGTCTTGTGCTTAATGCTTTACTGATGTAAGAAAAATGCTTTTACTTATGCAAACACAATGATATACACCATCTTGAGGTTCTTAAGCATCTGGTGACTTTAATCCGCAACATGTAGAACTTTTTAGAGTTGTGAAATAGCTTAAGAAACTTTTTTATTGAAAATATCTCACTTGATATTAACCGCAGTTATTTCTAGTTGATGAGCTATACCAGAACAATAATTTAAATTCAAAATTTTGATGCCACTTTAAGAAAATATGAATAAAAAATTCACTTAAATCACAGGAATTTAATTAAATTGACATTATGGTCAACTATAGTCAGCAATGAAGCTCATAGACTATAAAATGCTACACGGAGGATCTTGTATACACCAAGCCATTATTTAGAGCTATAAATAAATGAAAATTTTTTTAAAAGCGTTTACCTACCAGCTTTTTGTATAAGTAGTCAAAATAATTTAGAGAAAATTTCATGCGTTTCACATATTTCAACCTAATTCATTTATGTCTAGACATTGATTTTAATATCTCCTAAAAATTGAAATTTTCTCAAAAAATTTGTATTCTTTTTTTCTGATTTTAGAAAGCCTAAGTCGCAGGTATCTTCACTTCCTTTTCGTTAATTCACTACATACAAACTTAAATACATTAAATCATTGTGAAATTTTTCTAAATATTTTTTTTACTATTAAAACTGTTTGCATTAAAGCGTATATATATATATATATATAATAACAGTCTTTTTATAAAATAAAATCAATTTGCCTACTTAATAAAAAGAATTACTTATACATGATTTTGTTATTGAATAGTTTTGTTGGAAAAAAATAGATTAAATGTGAAAAAAAAGAAATAACTTGTTTTCATGAACGGTAAAAAGTGATGCAGTGGGATCACATGAACAAGACATATTGATATGAGTAGTTAGTCAAAACCTAAAAAAAGAAACTTAATCAAATACTAGTAGGAAATAAACATAATAGACAATAGAAGAATTTATTTTCTACATAAATGGTAAACATTTGACGAAGTATTGCATATTTTCAAATATTTCATTGTTGAACTAAACAGAAGGAATAAAAATTGACTAATTGTAGTAGCATAAAAAATTTCCATCAATAAACGATAAAAAATTGCATTAAAATGTACGATTCAAATAAATTGGTACATATATATGTATATATATATATGAAGCTGTACGATCATACTGATCCTTCAATTTCTAACCATTCATCCAGAGAGTTTCTCTGTTCTTTCCTAAATATGACTTTAGAGACCAGAGTCAAATTTAATATTAACGACTATGAATTTCACTCGAAATTTCAACAAGTTTGACGATTGTGTTACAATTGCTAATGTTTTATTCACTACAGCTGATGATCAGTAACAGATTATTGAAATTCAGTTTGATGCACCTAACAAATTCAATATGTAGTTATTGTTATAGGTTAGGATATATAAAATGAGCGGTTAACGAGTTTTAAAGCCAATAAAATAAATTAGCAAAACATTAAACGATGCGTTAGCACAATGATACAGTGATTGCTCCCGAGTCAAGGTTATTGATATAAACAGCAGTAGTGGAGCAGATTAGATGTAGAAGATATGATAATTAAGTGAAATCAATTTAAGAGAAAAAAATCGATCATGAGGAACTCAGGAGATTAGAATGTAAGGTAAGAGGAAGAATAGATGTATCTGCGCCAGTGCAAACGGTTTTGAGCCATGTCATTCAATGTTTCGAACCGTCGATTATTATTGACTCGCGAAACCCATCCTACTAGTCAACATCTACTAGCATGACTCAATCCACTTGTCAGTGACTTCATGGGGTTTGTGCCATGTTTTGTTCTGGCCATCCCTAGACTCTTTCCAACCTGCATCAGACAACATCGGCCGATGAGAAAGTCGGTGGTTAGGCATACGTAACACATGTCCCAAGCACCTCAACTGATGCAGTTTCAATACTTCATCTATCGACATGTCATTCTTATCTAGTAACCATTTTCTAACAAGAGCATCGCTTACTCGGTTGTCCCAGGATATAAGAGCAATGCATCGAAGACACCTGTGATGAAATACTGATAGCATACGAATATCCTCTGTTCTCAGTGGCCATGTTTCACACTCTGGTTGGGTGACAGATACCTCGACTACGCCGTTGGTGACGCAAGTTGGCAAAGCCAGTTGAGCTTTCTCTATCCGTGCTGGGATTTCGTCACACACCATGTTATCAGCACTAATGAGACCCCCAAGGCACGTGAGGAGGTCAAGACGCTCAACCGCTTCACTCCCTATCACTAGTTCAGGTGCTGATGAAATCCAGTCTTGAGGCAACATTTTGCATTTCGACAGGGAAAACCGCATCCCGAACATGCTTGCATTGTTGCTTAGGCTAGTCAGAGGACTACATTTTTTCAGCATACTTAACAAACGAAACCATATCATCCGAAAACTCTAAGTCGACAGGCGGATCTCCTGGTAGAAGGTCAACTCCTGAAAAGTCGGACAAAGACAATCTTAAATCCAGAAGCAAGTCTATAACAAAATTAAACAAGGATGGAGAAAGTGTACAGACCTAACGAACACGACTTGAACTAATCAATTCTGATGACAGTTCGCCTTGAACTCTCACTTGACCGGTAGTGTTTAAGCTGATAGCCTGTATAGGGTAATGTGCTTCTTCGGTTCACCTTTCCACAGAACTTACGATCAAGAGAGTCAAATGACACCTTAAGATCGAGGAATACAATTATCGTAGGTTGCCGAGATGTGTGTCTGTGTTCTAGGACATGTCAAAGTGTGAGTATGTGACATATACATTCACATCCAGGTTTGAAACCAGCCCGGTATTCTTGAGTCAGCTCATTATGACCTCCAGTTAGGCATCGGATAATAATCAAGGCTAACATTTTGGACATTATATATCTTTGATAAACTAGATCCTCTATGACTGTCGCAAGAGGACTTTTGTCCTTTTGCATAGACTGGGATAATCAGCGATTAATAGCAGTCATATAGGATTACATCCAGTTCCCAGATTCTACCTAAGATCTCAGTTAGAATCTTGAAACTAGGTGTAATCTTATCCGAAGACTAAAGACTGACACTGACAACGATTACCAAGTCAGTCAGTCAGTCAGTCAGATGCAACGTAGAACTTCGTAAGTAAGTACATCAGTTCATGTTGCCATACCACATTAGCACAGAGATATAATTGTCAATTCAAATCCAATAGTAGAAGAGTTAGAGGTAGTAAAGTTATTAGAAGTAATCGGAGAGGTTAGGATTAGAAGCTATTATTCAAGAAGTATGATTCAGTGAGAAAAGTTTAGAAAGTCAAAACTAGAGGGGTTGAAGAATCCAGAAGATTAGGATTTGAGAGAACACAAAGAATAAATGTGTAGTGTGTCGTTTTTACTGATCTTCTGTGGAGACGAATCGGTGAGCGAAGCAAATGAATCGATGAAGCAAATAGGGAGTGATATGAATGAACGACGGGCTCACCAGATATGGTCGCCGATTTTGTTGACGTCGGGCCCACCATTTGTAGTGTGTCGATTTTACTGAGTGTTCTTAAGCTCGGTAATTAACTCGTTCAGACAATCGTTGCAAATAGCGTCTGACGGTTTATAAATCAGAAGATGAATTCGCAGTGATGAATACGTTTATTCGGGACACACCACAAAGCAAAGCGGAGAAGCAGTGAATAAAACGAATGAAGCGACGTGAACTGGAGAAGGCTAAGAGCCAACTCTTTGGATTACAATGCGAGCGAATGGGTGAAAGAAGCGATATGGAGAAGGCTAGTGAGCCAACTCATAGAAATAGAGCATGACTAAGAATGTATATTCAGACACAAATAAGACAGACATATGACAAGCGAAATAGGCATGCACAGACATGAATAAAAGCGGCGAATGACTGACAAGGTCAAAAGCAAGCGAGACAAGTCATGTGAGTTCATAGGGGTATTAAGAGATTAACATTAAAGCGAAAAGGATGATTCAGCGCCTAGGATCAAGCAATGCTCAGTCGTACAAGCTCATACAAGCCAGACAATAAACAATACCAATGGTACATATGGGTTGTTGCTATACAAATAGCGTGGCTACATAAGTTGATCGAAAGGCGTGATCAAATTAAATATGAGCGAACTCAAGTTTATATGGAGGCACGACAAATGCACCGGCGTCATTACGAACGGTTTTGAGCCATGTCGTTCAAGGTCTCTAACCATTGGTGACTTTCGTCTTGCGGACGCCAACCAGGTAGTCGACAACTACCGACATGGCTAGGTTCACTCGTCAGTGACTTCATGGATTTCTGCCATGTTTTGGTCTGGCCGCCCCTAGCTTTCTTCCAACCTATTCCTACACTACAAAACAAAGCTCGTCGAGGCAGTCGGTGGTTAGGCATATGCAACACATGTCCCAACCACCTCAACTGATGAAGTTTCACCACTTCATCTATTGATCTGCCATTCTTACCTAGCACCCGACTCCTAATAACAGCGTTGCTCACTCGGGTGTCCCACGATATACGAGCAATGCTTCGAAGACACCTATGATCGAAAACCGATAACTGACGAATATCTTCTACTCTTAACGGCCATGTTTCACAGCCATAAAGTAAAACAGCGCGAACTACTGTGCAGTACGCTCGTCCTTTAGTCAGCAAACGGATATCTCGCCTACGCCATAGGTGACGCAGGTTGACAAAAGCCAATCGAGCCTTCTGCATCCGAGCTGAGATTTTGTCAGTCACCAGGACATCAGCACTGATGAGACTCCCAAGATAAGTGGAGCGGTCACCACGCTCAACTACTTCACTCCCTATCACTAGTTCAGGTGCCGATGAAACCCAATCTTGAAGCAACATTTTGCATTTCGAAGGGGAAAACCGCATCCCGAACATGCTTGCATTGTTGTTTGTGGTAGTCAGAAGACTCTGTACTCTGTCAACGTCTTCACCAAGTAGGACTATGTCATCGGCATATTCTAAGTCAATAAGCGAGCCTCCTGGTAAAAGGTCTACTCCTGAAAATTCAGACGAGGATAAGGTTATAACTAGGACCATGTCTATGATAAAATTAAACAAGAATGGAGAAAGTGGACATCCCTGACGGACACCACTTGAAGTAGAGAATTCCAATGACAGTTCACCATGAGCTCTCACTCGACCAGTGGTGTTCGAGTAGAGAGCTTGTGTAAGGTTAATGTACTTCTTTGGTACACCTTTCAATGACAGACACTGCCACAGAACCTCACGATCCTCTGAGTTAAATGCCGCCTTAGGGTCCGGGAAAACAATTATTGTCGGACGTCTAAATGTGTGTCTGTGTTCCAGGACCTGTCGTAGTGTGAAGATGTGGTCTATACAACCACGTCCAGGTCTGAAACCAGCCTGAATTTTTCTAGTCTGTTCTTCATGAGCTTTCATTAAGCTTCGAAGTATTATTGAGGTCAACATTTTAGATATTATATTGGTTCGACTTTTTCCCCTGTGATTGTCACAAGAAGACTTCTGTCCTTTCTTATCAATTTGGACAATTAGCGACTGAGACCAGTCGGATGGGATTACGTCCAGTTCCCAGATTCTACCTGAGATCTCGGTCAGTCTAACTGTTAAAACTGAACCACCATCCTTAAAGATCTCAGG